TAGAGATACTGCCGAACCCGCCCTCGAGGCAAGGCAGAAGAAGGTGCAATTTGTACCCAGTCAATACTCAAGATCTGAGGAGGCATCGGACGACTACAAGCGAAGCGAAGACGGCTCCAACCTCGAGTAAAGAAGGCTCAAGAGATGAACAGCGTGAGGGGACTGCAGATATCGTTGTTTCAACCAGTTATGAGCAAGCTCGGATCTTTACACGTACACCTCACAGCAGCCAACAATATGTAGCCCTGCCTCCGCTTGGTGCGGGCGACCTACCAGCGATGGTTCGTGTTGGGTCCAATTGTCGTTTAGTACCGCCTTGATTAGGTTTTTGTCTTCCTCGGAGATTTTCCCTAATCTTCATGCAAATGCAAAGGCTGTTTTCGCACAAGTACCATTTTTTGTTATGTAATATGTGATTTTTCCGCACCGGCTTTATTGTTGCAATGACTTGTGAGAGCCAAGCTATAAACACTACGTCTACAAAGGAGTTCTGACCTTCACACCACTATTGCTTATACCACCATCACTTGAGTATCATTTGATTCATTTTACTAATACACCTTGCTCGTAGAACAAACCTCAATTGGGTAACATGGAATGCATTTGCGACAGGGGCTGATTCGCTTAAGAGCTAATATACTATGTAACTTCTTCCTGGAACAAGCCCTATTGGGTACCATGGAATGCGGCTGGGGCAGGGGTTGGTTCGGCTAACACGGCCGTTATGCTGGTTATACCATTGTAACTGCTTTGTCATGATGTTGGAAGGAAGCGGCTTACATCGGAAAAACCCCCAATTGGGTACCATGGAATGTGTCAGCGGCAGGGTCCAACGTGATGGGAATTCCCCAGAATTACCCCCATGCAATATAAAGCCGTATTAATGAGGATGCTATCACCAAATGGCTGCATTGCTTGATCCTTTGGTCTCTTGGCTTGATGATTACAATCAGCCAAGGCTTTTGGTCCGCGACTTCCAGAGACGAGGGTACTCGTACTGGTAAGAGTCAATATGCTTCATCCTACTCTTGGCATTCATAACGTTATTGTGGCCTGGTGATTGCGAAACAATAGTCTTCTTGGCAGCCAACAATAGCAGAATCTTTAGCATGAATCCTTAGTCTCGGTATCTACCAGGTACTCTTTGATCATGAGATTTGTTGAGATAGCAGGCATGTGTTGGCTGCTACGGTGGCGAAACTACCTAAGTAGGTTTCTGGATGATGCTACTGGTTGCATATGCTTGGGTAAGAAAGAGTGGCGGTCATCAATTTCAATACTTTTGTTCAGCATCACAGTAGAAGCGGTCTAGGTCAGATCATAGATATCATAGAGGCTTCGGAGGTATTCTTGATCAGGCGTAGCAGATGTAAGAAAAGCACACTATTCTGTCTATATCATATCATAAGAGGCGTCCAAGATGTGCTTGAGGCGTGGCGCATATAAGCGAGATACACCATTCGGACTATATCATATCATAGAGGCCGCTCCAACATCAAATAGGCAGGTAATGAACCGATTTATCAGCTTCTGCCTAGTCGGCGTTGATATACCGCAGAGAGAAAAAACAAAAACAAACCTTGTCAAGTGAGGGGAACGAAGAACGAGCTAAGATCCTAGTCTTTTCTCGTTGGGTTCGCCAAGATATCAGTTGGACGCCAAGTAGTTTAGTTGCCATATTAGCCTCAAATTCTAATTGCATCCTGTCCCCGAGACAGAAGATTCGGCTGAATAGAAGCTCCCGGTTTAGGGCTTCTGCCAAGGCTTAACCATCCGTTAGGCTTGGCTTCCTATGATGCGTTTCCGGAAGGAAGCCCGAGCTGCGCTTCACATACCTCTGTTCTTCGCAACCCTCTCTCTCTGAACCAGTTGGACCCCAAAGCATTGATTGATGTTTCTCAGGAAATTATGTTTGGCGGTATGCGACACCAGAAAGATACGGAGAACGAAGAGGAGAGCGGCCTCCTGGACACCTCTGAAATTGTATTGAAGCCGGCAAAGAAAAGTATCCAGCTTCAGTCCCTCCTTCTCATCATCTCCCTCTCATTCAATGCCTTATTCGCATTTCTCGGCCTTCTCAGCCTAAGTCGCACTCAAGAGTTGGTTACATTGCCATCATATGAAGCTGGATTTGCCTCAGACCTAGGTATGGATCAGCACGAAACCCATCTTTTCTTCCGGCTTGACTAATATATCCCCTTTAGAGCCAGCTAGAAAAGAAATCGAATTGCAAGTCAAGACCTTCTCCGGGGGTGTGGAATTGACTAGCGAGGGCCACTACTTCACAGATAAAGGCGGTGATGAATTCGTCGGTCAACCACGACCAGAAATTGATGAAGCGTGGAGCAGGCTTCTAGGGGGTTGGTTTTATATAAGCCACAGAGCATTGAAAGCACAACAGTCATTCTGATAGCTTACTAGGGTTGAATCTTGACTTTGATAAAACAGAAGTTGAACTCAGAGACTCGACATTTCAATGGCCGGAATCGGGGTTGTACTTCAGCGGAGTTGATGTGTATCACTCACTCCATTGTCTGGTATGTAGAGACTCGTCATTAGTTCTTTGGGAATATTGGACGTTAATCGCTGTTTTCTTACTAGAACCGCCTCCGCCAGGCCATGTATCCCGACTATTACAAGGGTCTTTTCGACAGTCCGACGGACCCATCGCGCGTTAGACATATAGGTTTGTGGTAAAATGAGGGTTTCCCTCGACAATATTGAAACTAATGGAAGCTAGGACATTGCATCAACCAAATACGGCAGTCACTACAATGCCATGCGGACTTGACACCAATGCAGTGGAAGCTGGTGGGATCTAGAATCATCTTGAAGACAGATACTCCTCACACTTGCAGGAATTTTGATAAAATTCACCAATGGGCGACGCGGCACAGTACCCAGCTTGACACCATCCAGAGCATTCTCAATGAAACTCTCGTTATTGTAGATTAGAGATATCAGGGCAGTCGTTACTGTGTCATCCGTTTTCGATCTGGCGAACAATGAAGCGCATAGATCTAGAACTGTATTTTGATGTTCTCAATCATAATGAATCCCACTAACTATCTTATCCACTTCAGCCTAGTATGTGATGCTCAAGCTCTAGTATATAATGCTTTATCAAAACGTGCGATGCTTCACTAGATAGTGTGAGGCAATTCCTGGCGTGCAACTGCAGACTGGTCAAATCTGAGAAGCGATTCAAGTCCGTTTTCTATTTACCGGTTCTTCCCACGGATCAGCTCTCTAAACAAGCCGTCCACTCTTTCTACCAGCTCCGACGGCCGCCCAGCCTCGACCAGCTTCCCTGCATCCATGACCAACACGACATCTTTGTCCATGATAGTATCCAAGCGGTGTGCAACTGTGATGACAGTATGCTCCTTGAACTCCTCTCGCACGAGTGTCTGCATCAGCTGATCTGTCTTGCCGTCGACGTTACTTGTAGCCTCGTCGAGCAACACAACACGCCCGCGATATGGCCGCATCAACAGCGCACGAGCCAGCGAGAACATCTGTTGCTGCCCGTGAGAGAGCGGCAGCGACCTCATTGTCCGGTCGAGGGTCTCAACGGTTGAGTCGTCGCCGCTCTCAGAAAATTCCTCCTCTGAGTCATTGCTATCATGGCGTTCAGTTGACAGCAGTTTCTTGTCGTTGTCCAGCTTACGCGCCTGCAGCGGATCCCATAGTCCGACACGCTCAAGCGCATGGACTATGTCGTCGTCTGAGATGTTTGCACCCGCAATATCAAGGTTCTCGCGAACTGTATCGGTTGCGATAAACATAGGGTCCTGCGGGACCACAATCAGGCGGGCACGGACGTCGTCGCGTGAAAAATCGCATATGTTGCTCCCATCGATGCATATAGTGCCCTGACCCTCCAATTCGATAAGACGTAGCAGGCTGAGCAACAGAGACGACTTGCCGCCACCGGTGCGGCCCACGACACCGACTTTGGTGCCCGGTGCGATGTCGATGCTGATATCGTTGAGGGCAAGCACTGCTGGCCTGTAAGACGCCGAGACTTTGGTAAGCTCGATGGCTCCGCGAGCAGGCCAGGACGGTGGGAGGGACTTCGTCGTACCCGGCTCGTCCTCCGGCTGGACATCCTGCTCGAAGGCGCGCAGTCGGGAGATAGAGCCGAGCGAGGTCTCTAGCTTGGTCCAGGCCTCCACCAGGCGGAGCAGGGAGTGGTTGGCGCGTAGAACAACGTTGAGGGCGATGCCGATTTGGCCGCCTGTCGTGCTCCCTTTGAGGGCAAAAGCAAGGCCGATGACGCTTACAGCTAGGCCCGGAACGATAAGGTCAAGCACGAGACCAAGCCAGCGCTGGATGCATAGTAGCAAGTAATCTGGACGTAGCGACAGGTCAAGTTTCATGGCGTTGTCTCTAATGAAAGACTCCTGCCACCCGAACGCTCTTATTGTCGCAACGCCTTCTAGCGTCTCAAGAAAGCTAGCGTTAACCAGAGCCCGCGCTTCGAGGTCAAGGAAGCGCATTTGCCGCGACGTTGCCAGGTAGACCTTCTGGATCAAGTAGACGGCGAAGATCGTGAAAGGTAAAGTGGCAGTTATGAACGGCTGAATAAGTCCTACTAGGATACACTGCGAGAGCACGCTAAAGATGCTTTGCAAGACTTGGAAGAGTGCGAAGGGCAGCTGGCGGTTAAGCAGCGCCATATCGGCGCCGAAGCGGGTAAGCGTCGTGCCCGTATCGGTTTCGGAAAAATATGATTGCTTTGCATGCATGACTGTGCGCAGGAGTCGGGCATGAAGTGTATTGCCCGAGTGCGGCGCGATGACGAAGAAGACGCTCGAAACGGCTGTAACAAGGGACAAGAAAGCGCCAAGCGCAAGGGCGAAATAGACGCTCGTAAAGAGCCACATGTTGTCGCCTCTGTTCTCTGCCATCCATCTAAGCCAGTACGGGATCACCCCTGAAAAGGTGGCATAGAGAGTGAGGGCACCCGAAAGGAGAAGAAGGCGTGAGAGCCCAATGGCGCCAAAGTAGTAGCCTGTCTCGTCAGTCTTGACCATAAACATCCTTCATCGATATGATAGGAGCTTACCGTATAGCGTGGTGTCTCCCGTCTTGAGGACGATGTCCTGCATGCTTGACTGTCGCTGTTTGGGGGGTGCCTGGCTCTCATCTCTACCTTTCTCACGATTACCGACTTGATTTTCATGTTTCGTGCCATCGACTTTTTCATCTCTTCCCAACGTGGTCTTGCCAGAGTAGCCAGCTTCTACTCGGAGATTCTCCCTACTTCCTTGTTTCGCAATTTGGCCTCTATCACCGAGAATGATGAAATGATCGGCCAAAGACAGGTGTTGCGCTGCCGAGATATTGTCAGTGTGTGCCACGCACGGCGTCTTGCAAATAACTTACTCGCGTGGGTGATGAGCACCACCGTAGTGCCAAGTTCTTTGAACAGGCCATTTGGGCCGATGAGGTTTTCGACAATGTGCCGCGCGGTTTTTGCGTCGAGCGCAGACAGAACGTCATCGAGAATGACGAGGCTGCGACGCGCGTATACAGATCGTGCGAGGGCCTGCGTTGCACCTAGGTTTAACAGAATGCAGAGAACATACAGGACATGGATAAGCTCACCACCCGTTGCTTTTGTCCGCCTGAAAGGGTAATACCCCGACTGCCGATGACAGTTTGGTCCCCATCCGGCAACTGACTGAAGTCCTCCTCGAGACCACATGCGTGTACAACCCTTTTGTACCATTCTTCAACTGGCACCGTATCATCGCCAATTGGCCCGCATATGGCCTCTCTTATGGTACCGTTGGTCAACCAGGCTGCTTGAGAACAATACGCTATCGAAAGGTAGGCTGTTTGTATCACCCCGGCATCTGGGGTAAGGTCGCCTAGAAGGGTCTTCGCAAGGCTCGACTTTCCAGTACCCACGGCTCCGGAAATAACCACCAGACTGCCTTTCTTAATGACTGTGCTAATGTTCCTCAGGACTGGTGCCGCCGTGGAGGCAGGACGAACGGTCACATTGTCAAGGCGGATGGCAACTTGATCGAGCGAAACACTGGCTGCGCTGCCTTCGTTGCTCTCAGAATCGTGGTCGGGGCATTGCGTGTCGAGGAATTCTCGCCTGTCTTCACGATCTGGGCTGAGAAGGTACGACTGGATGCGGTCGAAAGCAGCTATGACGGATGCCGCCTCTCCCAAGATGCTGAGGAGGGTGTTGGCGGGGGTAGTAACTATGTCTATGATGGCGAGGGAGGTGAAAACCATTTCCACGTCGATGGACTTGACTCCGCGCAGCTGTGATTGTATGGCGTAGATGATCAAAGTGATGGCAGGGCTAAAAAGGCTCAAGGCCACGGCTGCAGAGGTCAATGTCAGGAGATGGCCCAAGATGCAACCGAAGTATCCACTTACCGCTCACGAAAAAGGCTACCAGGAGGTGGTGAAATGCGACAAGTTGCTTCATTTCGTGGACCCTGGTGGCTTGGATCTTGCCCTCCATCTTCTTGCCGAGACCCATAATCTTGATATTCTTCATAGCGTCAAGGATGGCTTTGGTCGTTGAGATGCGCATCTGCGTCGCCTGGCTGAATGCTATTTGCCTATCCACTAAATTCTCAGTGATGAAGTTGACTGCCTTGGAGGTGCCTGTCGGACGTCAGCGCGACCATAAAGATACCGGGGCGAGTGGGGTACAGGGACGTACAGAGCACGACTAGAAGGGGGGATATGCACACCCAACCTAGTTCTCGAGCCAGCATGTACATTCCAATACAAAGCTCTAATACCTCTGACCATAATTGGTGAAAAAGCTCGCCGGCGTTGGCCGCATCTTCTGTATCGCTGCTCATAAGCGTCACGGCGGCCGAGTCGTCCAAGACGCCAGTTTCGATTGTCAGGCAGCGGTTATAGATAACTCCAACGAGGCCCATGCGAATCTGACAGTTTAGTTGTGCGATTCGGCGCTCGTACATACCATTGCAGATCTAAAACGTTGGTTTCAACAATCTCCTCTCATTAGATTATTCGTCTTGTATCAAACGTACCGCCATGCCCGTATAAATCACGAATGCCAATAAGATCAGGCGAAGTGCTTCATTCCTATTGTCGAAGGACGTCAAGCTACTGCTGACAGAAGTAATGACTCGGCTAATCAGAAGAGGTTGGCAGCAACGGAGCACAATGTAGATGAAGCGTGGCACAAATATGTCGATATTTGACCACCAAGAACACTTCAGCTGCGCCAGAACTAAGGAGAAGCGACCTTTCTGCTTTTCTGGGGTTGTTAGAAAGCCTTACGAGTCATGGTAGAGCCGGAGTTCTGCATACTTATCGTGTCCCACTCTCGCTGCATAGCATCCCTTGTTCTTCCTACATCGAGAGACTTCCCAAAGGCCGGCATGTCATCCAGGGACAAGACACGGGAATAGCCGTTCCTGAGGATCTTATTGACCCACCAATAAAAGGCCACGCCAAAGAAGCCGGATGTCTCCTCTGGTGATAGTTCATCGTACGGCTCGCGTAGGATAGACGTCTTGGTCCGTCCCTCTAGGATGAGAAGGGCAAACCTGGTAGCGAAGATGGCCAATGTGAGATCCTCTGAACTGCAGAGGTTTCTAGCGACAAATAGGAGACCGGCATTTATTGCATCGCTGAGAGTTGCGACCAATAAATAGCTGGTCAAAAGAGTTGATGGTTGAACGCTGCGGCCATGCTCCAGGAACGAGAGCACGCATAGCACCGCGCTGGCTACCGAGGACAGTCTTGCCGCTAGCAAATGTGACTGGGAACGTTCTACGTCGCTGAGAAGTAGGTAGGACAGTTGTAGAGCGCAAAGAATAGAGACGACCAGCTAGGCGGGCGCGTGTTAACACGGGGGCGATGATTGTGCCATGGGAGACACTTACGGCTTTGGGATAGCCTTGGCGGTTGGGGAGCACGACAAGCGGCGCCCCACGCAGTTGGGCGATCCTGAACGAGGCACCGATAAGCAACCAAGCTGCCGGTCCAAATTGCAAAAGACCTTGAAGAATTGCCTCTACCTGCTGGTCATCCGACAGATGCCCTCGAAGGGGGGCTGAGTCGTGGTCGGGAAGACACAGCTGCTCTTGCCACCCAGCACTCAAATCGGTTATCGAGGGCCACATGACGTGTCGAGATTGGAGGAGATGGGACTTTGTTTATTGTCTAAGTGGACAAGAAACTGCCAAGAACGTGACGGCGATGGAATGAAAAGAAATTCATTTAATAACGCGGGAAGCTGTCCTGATATCTGCTGGGTCGTGCGTGCTGTGCCGCATTGTATCATTCAAAAGCAGAATAACCCCAAAATCAGCCGCTTTTTATTATTGACTTAGTCTACCTAATAGGGTAGGTAGTACAGCTCGTACAGCCCATGTAGACAGCGGGCCGTCAAAATATACATATTTATTTAAGTACATATGCCCAGCTTCCCCCCACACATCGTGTAAAACGATTGCCCCGCAACCAACAACCGAGAGATCAACCGCCAAGTCCACCAAGTCGCCGTTATGTAGAGCCATCTATCATCACATACCTACCTAGGTAGCCATAAAAATATTGTTGCACTAACGTACCTTAGTTAGTACATATCTCAGATCACCTGCTTGGGTGCATAGTTCGTCATTTAACGCCTCTCTTTTAAAGACTAGAGATCAACTTAGACATCTTTCAATGCTTCCTCGATCATCTCATCTTCAGTTCCCCGTTCACTTATTGGCCCAGGTGAAAAGAATCGACACCTACCTCCCAAAAAAAAAAAAAATTGAAAACCATCGACCGAAGAAAGGAGTGTCTTGGCATAGTCTCGTCCTCGGTCGGATAGGTCCGCACCAGATTTAAGCAATGTGAAATTGTAGCAACTAATCTAAATGATGCTGACTAAATTAGTGTAATGAGTCGGCACTTCTTATCTTCGCCTTCCACCCTGTATACTTTCAACTAGCTTGTTCGTATTCGATAGCATGTCAGCAAAATCAGCAAAAAGCCATATATATGGTCTATACCCGGCAGTATATATGGAGAACGAGTGGGCCAGAAGCACAGTATTTCATTCAACCTTTCTTAAACATGCATGCACCAACGTAAGAGTCGCACGACGAGGTATTCCCGCATCAAACGATTGCTCTTATTTCACGACGTGAATATTTCCGAGCAGCAGCTCGTTCAACTTCCATTCCGTAGCAGACAAAACGTACGTCATGGCTTGCATCCTGGACAAGTGGACAAGCTAGAGAGGAAGTATCGGGCTTCTGATACGATCGTACTGTGGAAATTGAAGACCGTATTAAGATGATTCTTCTAAGGTAAAAAGTAATTGTGCATACAACGGGAAGCAAAATCCTTCCCGTAAAACCCGTAAAAGCAACAGTCTCTATGAGGCTGTACACGGATAGCCACAGGCCCCAGCCACTTGTTGCGCATCAGCTTCATATAGTTCTGGCGCTGGAAAGGCACTCAAAGCTTGCTTTCATCCAGTATATTAGCCAAGCGCCTGCGTTGAAACCGCCCGCCACCCAGATCAGCCACTTTTACCATCAGTAAATGTGCCAGAATCCAGGACACCTGGCCTGCGAATCACCTCATGGAATCGCCAGTTGGATGACATGTCAATCCAGACCACGATTCTTTGCTTCACCTACATGTCCTCTCCAACTCAGGACCAAGCCGCCCTCCTATGCACATAAGGGAACGTTCCATGAAGCATAAACAAAAAGACTAGCCACCTTGATAGGAAGACTTTGTGTCGGCTCGGTCGTTTACACTCAGATAGGCGTAGTTTTCAACAAGGTTATTCAATACCTGAGTGTCCTCTTTGACGACACTAACCGTCCACGCGCTTCGCACAGCCTGCATCGGAGCCCTACTCTTCTCCACGGGGTCCTCGTCGTCAAGATTCAGCACGCCTTTGAGTATCGAGGCTTCTTGTACACGCATGCGCCCACGGATGACCCGGAACAGCGCCTCAGACAAGTAATGATTATGACGCTGACTGGACAACCCCTTTACGACCAGAATGAGAGTCGACCGCAATGCTTCTAGCTGGGAAGCAGAGGTAAACTGGTCGATGGCATCGGCGCACTTGAACGCCACAAGGATTAGCGGTATACAGATGAAGAGATCCATAGCATCAAACCCATGTCGGAGGTAATAAAGCCGAACGAGGGTCCGGAGGTGCTTGTTTGAATCGTCAATAATTTGTTGCGGCCCTGGCACTCGATCTGTTTCCTCATCCAGCAAGGGTTCAAACATATTGAGGACGAGGTTGTGATAGTACATGCTGTCAATTTTCATCATCAGTGCATAAGCCTTTTTCAATGCGGTGTATATTTAATCTCGTGCATAGTATCTAGGCTAGATGAAGGGGATGCTTACTGAAGTTGTAACTGTGCAGGTAGCACGATAGTCTTTGCGCAAAGTGGTGCAGGCAAGCCGTCGTACCAACTTATTAAACGCGAACGGAACTGATATGCTTGATCAAGAGTTATCATTGAGTCTCTGGAATAGGCTTCTACACAGAATTCATTCATGATGATTCGGAATTGGCTTTTCGCATGAAAAACAAGTCCAAAATGTGACGGGGAAAGACTCTGGCTTGATGGATATTTGGCCCATATCTCGCCGAACCACTTTGGATCTTCCAGAGGATCCGGTAATGGTTCGACGGGTGGAGTTTTGAGAAGTGGCGCATGCATGAAGGAAAAGCCGACCAGACTGTAGAAATTAGCACCTTGGGAGGGATGGCAAGGGAGAGAGTTCAAAAGGCCTACGTTTCCCAATCATACAATGCCCATGCAGTGTACAGTCTACCGTCCCGTATTCTTTTGCTTTGCCCGGATATGGCACTGTCATACAAGCGCAACTTGTGTGCTAGTTCAATGGCTTGGATCCTATACGGCTGTCCAATCTCGTCTAGACCGCAGAGGTTATAGAAGACATTGAAAAGCATTCCGGCCTGAATAGTGGTGAGCCGTACTTGGTGTGACTCAATCTCCCAGATGCGTTTTGCTTCAGCAATAAAACGATACACGAGTGTATGTGGGTTCCAATACTCGGCGCGGTCCGAGAATCGCGGATAGCAAACCTGAACATGATCAGTCTGGATGGCCACTTGATACTTTAAAGGCATAATCTTACGCATGAATAAGCAAGAGTCACATTGACAAGGAGCGATGAGCAGAAATCTTGCCGCATAACAAGCATATCCTCGAGAAAGTAATCCTTCTGGAAGGCCGCGGTAAATTGATATTCACAACGAAGCCACACCCCAAGAAGGTCCCGCATAAGCAAATCATCGTCGCAAACAGACGTCCACAGTGATGGCTTCACGTCTGTGAGGCGAGGGTCCACGACTTGGGCTGCGTGGAAGGGCCTCTGATAGGCAACCAAGCTGTAGCTGTCAGACTCACTGCCATCGGGCCCCAATCTCTGGTCTGGAGCATATGACAATGGCCCTTCGTAGACGAATGAGTTCAAGTAGGAATTATCGGGCAAATCATTCTCTGGAAAATTCTGTCGATACGGAAATTGATAACGGAATCGAGTTTCAGGTTCAAGAGCGAGCTGGAGCAAGAGATCACCATCATGAATATGCGAAAGAATGGCCGAGATGTCGGTTCCCGACCTGATTCTCTGCAGCACGTGATGAGCCTCTTTGTCTGGCAGTGTCCTCAAGAGGTCGAGGATTTTCTCGTTCGAAGTCGCATGATCTCGCAGTTGGCTGTAGGATCGTCTAAGAGCTTGTGAGGGTGTCTCCCCCGGCTGTGAGGCATAGTCGCACGGAACGCGCCGCTGAGTGCAAGAATAGCATACTGGTCGACCACCGTCGCACTGCAACTACCGTTAGAATCTGCAAAATGCAACAATAAATTGTCCATTCCTAGGAATGAAGCCACATGTATGTACCTTGATTTTTCGTTTCCGACACGCGCCACAGGCTGCCGGCACTTGTTGTCGTCTCAGGGAACGGCTTTGTTTCGCCAGGTGAGCGACCCTGGACGGCGGGGATGATTGTTGAGCAGCTGCTAGTGCTAGTGGTGCTGGTTGTGCAGGCGTCGGAGCTGGCCGGGGCAACAGAGGACGCCTTTGTTGCCTCGATTGCCCCGGTGGCTCCAACTGGCCAGCTGCTAGACTATGTTGCGACATAGAACTGTTTATTGTTATCGATAGCCCGTCATTCTGCACTTCATATGTGTGTCAAGTGCCGGGGTTCGGTACACAGATCCGGGTCCTGCCTATACGGTTGGTTGTCGAAAAGCTAAAATCAACGCTTGTCTGGTAGATTAAGGGTGTTGAATGCGGGCAAGTAGCAGGGGAAAAGTCGTAGTAGACCAAGGCCAGCTATCATGCATACACCACCAGTAGCGGGGTCGACTCCTATACCTCATCAAGGATTATAAACGTTATATCGTTACTTGCCCCACGCAGTGACCTAGCACCTTGTTACCTAGTCACAGTTAAGTGGAGAACAATCCAACATCATTAGTGTACCACACTCGTTCAATGGCAACAATTCTTCAACCTCCTATCGAGATTTCATCTGCAAATTAAAGCCATTTTTCTGTTTACTTTCACAGGCAACGTTAAAATTTCCACAACCTGTACCTAACCCTTGTAGATGATATGGAAAGATATCTAGCAGATCAGAGGGCTAATAGGTGGAGCCTTGTACTGATCTAACGCTTATTATCTTGCATGAAGTATGGAAGATTTCATGCCGGAGATATTTCGGACCGAGTATTCCATTTTCCAAGAAACTCCGACTTCCACTATCATTGAAGAGGTGCAGGCTTTTTCGGATGGTACCGGCTAAGCCCCGGGAGCCCCGTGCATCGTATGTGCCGACGCCGTGGTGTTAATCATAGTGCTGTGGCACCACCCGGCTGACTGGCTTTCTGGAAGGGAACGCCCGCAATCAAGGAACTCGAACCAATCAAAGATGGGCAAATGGAGAGGGGAGGCTCCGGACTCGACCCCGGAGGAATTGGCCAATCAGATTACTCTCGAGCCAATGGAGCTGTTGGGGTGACACAATGTGAAGCAGTAGAAAGAGTTATAGAATCAGTTCTTTGCTGTGAGTAGGTAGGTGATAACGCACGCTACTCAGGGGATCAGGTCCTTACTAGGTATCTAGCCGTCCCTCTACCCCAGCCGGTTTTCTCTATTTCTTTCAATTTGTTCGCATTGGTTGCGTTGTCTCGCAAGAGTGTATGGTTAGAATATCTTTCATTCCCAGAAGCAAGCAATAATATAACAATGACTCTTCAATACTACCTTGAATCCAATAACTCATAAAAGCTTTCTTGTGTCTGGGTCTATGAGCCAACCAGTCATAAGTTATAGTATTTATTCTTAATAATTACATAACGAAAAGCCGTGATTGTGGTAAAATTGTTGACCATTTTTGACCAAAAGGTCTTGCCCATATTTTCCGTAGTGTTTCAAGCCCCATTGCGAGATTCCTAAACCCACTTCTTGCATACTGTCGCAAAAAGAACTTCTCAAAGTAAGCCTTGTGATCCGCAACTAGGCAGTCCGAAGCTGCCATAAAGCAAGCCCATATAAGCACCTGTTCACCCTGCGCCCCTTGACGGAACGTGTCGAGCGTGTCCTTAAATGTTGCTATACCACTACCGGGGAGGCCAAACACATTTTGCCCTTCAATTCTTTGGGGAAGCCTTGGCAACACAACGACTCTCCTATGTGTTCAAGTCGTGTGTTGCTTCTGTGAATGATCAAGGAGATTCAATTACTGTTCAGCTTGGGGACGATCGCCAATTTCGGGGACGCAAGGTCGTATCGACCATACCTTTAAATGTGATGCACAAGGTCAAATTTGATCCCCCACTCGCCATGTTAAAGAACGAAGCTATACGTCTTGGTCACGTATATGACGGAGCCAAGGTTCACTTCCAGATCGATAAATCGGAAACTCGGCCTCTCTCTGCCCTGGCGCAATCAGATTCTCGAATTGTCAGCACGTTGGGCGACGGTCGTACGCAAGCCACCGGGTTTCGTCACATGGTTGCTTTTGGCAGAAATGATGCATCTTTGGACTCAAATGATGACGCCAAGTCTTTCCAATTTCATGCTACAAAGACTTTTCCGAATCTCCCAGTGAGGAAAGTCGTAAGTTGGTCTCTCAAAGTCAATCAGGACGAATACAAACACTAACGCAAATCAAGTTATGGCATAACTGGAGTCGCGATCCATTCGCAATGGGCGGCTGGTGTATATTTCGTCCAGGATTCGCTTTTAACTACCTCGACTCCCTAAGAAGACGTCAAGGTAATGTGTTCTTTGCCAGTGCAGATTGGGCATTAGGTTGGCGTGGTTTCATTGATGGCGCGATTGAGGAAGGCACCAGAGTGGCGTATGAAATCAAGAACGGATTGGCCACAAGATTACAGTCCAGGACGAAACTATGATTTGGGTTATGAGAGTAATCACAACGATGATTTGATTAATCTAATAGGTCAATTTTCCAGCCCGCCCGTCAAGTCAGATAGATAAGCCATAGCTCCATCACGAATTACATCTCTCCAGCTTGCAGTCATACCACACAGCTGGCACCATGGTAGCGTATCTCATTTGCCAAGTCCCTGAATTGCGTGACACTCCGGATATGACGCATATTAAAAGCGTGCCCATTGGCCAGTGGTTTCCTCAACAACGTGTCTCAATGCTAAGTAAGCCTCTTGTCATATCATCAGGGTTAATTGCTGTCCTTGTTTGCTAGCACAGCCTTTTCCAGCTTGCTTCGACAACTTTATCATCTCTTCTCGCGTCTTTGGTGACGTCTTGTACCTCATCGAATATTTCGCCGTCGTTTCTGGTGTGCTTCCCTTCTCGTCTTCGGCCAAGGGGTCAGCGCCATGAGCCAATAGTGTCTTTGCCATGCAGATGCAACCATTCTCGGCAGTCCAGTAAAGCGGCGTGACGCCTCCTCTTGCTGCGCCAGGAAATTCTGCCATCAACTTGGGCACACGAAAGCCCCAAGGCAGATGCCGCTGCCACGGTACACCCCTGTGCATCTCCTCCCAGCCGTAAAAGAAGGCGAATGCTCGAGCATTGAAGTCAGTTCCTCCAGCTATTAACTCCTTAGCCAGTACAACAGCATCCGCGGCAAAGTCATCCGGATAGTCGTAGCCTGCAAGGCTGTGCAGTGATGTCCACCCCTGTGAAGACATGGCGCCGGGTTCTGCCCCAGCCGACAACAAGAGTCGTGCTGCTTGCAATGTATCCGCTCCGGACTTCGTGGAATTTCGATCTGGAAATCAGGATCCGTTCCGATGGGACTCGGGCCGTCCGGGTAAGCGCGCATAGAAATGGTGTCCAGCCGTTGCGACTGACTGTATGCGCATCAGGGCCACCTTTTTCACGGATCAGCGTGAGCATTTCACTGTCATTGTGAATCGTTTCTTTCGTGGACGTGGATGCATCTGCCTGGAGTCTGAGAAGGTGATGCAGAAGTAAGATATTGTCACCGGCAGCGGCGTAGTGGAGAAGTGATTCCCCATGATGATTCAGTTGGACAAGGGTCTTGTAATGTGTCTCTTGTCTATAGCCGAGCCACTTCCTTACAATGTCGCAAGGAAGGAAGAATGAAGCCAAATGCAATGGTGACTCGCCATTCTCATCGCCGATAGAGACGGAGCCGCCGTGGTCCAACGGTGTCAACAGGTGTTCACTTGGGAAGGCTGTCCACCTTCCCGTACGTTCTTTGGGCTGAGGAGAGGCGAGTTTGTGCATCACAGTCTGCCCATTTCCGTTCTGATTGTTGGGGTCTGCACCTAGAAGATAGAGAATAGAAATGATCTTTAGCTCGTCAGTATCTAGATTAAGAAGAAAATGTGTGCATTGATAGACTCACCGCTATCCAACAAGCCCCGAAGCCCGCCACCAAGAGCAACATTGCCAGCTGCGATGTGTAAAAGCGGCTGGCCGGAGATATGAATTCGGTTATTTGGATTCAATCAAGTATCAATCAATTGACACACGAGTACATGTTGATTGTCCTGATCATCCTTCTCATACTCTGGTGTTCCCATTCGGGCTGGCATTGGCTTTAGACTGCACGCCTTCACGGGCATAACGTAGCGGAACGCTTCGTCATAATCGACATGCTGCAGCAATACGTCCAAACATAGTCTTAGCTAAGCTTCCTGCTACAAGATATGACCAAGACATTGAAACCAAGAAGAGGCAGAAAGATATATCCTATAAGATATATTCTCATATCTGTAACTTCGGAAGTGATCGACCAAAATGTTGACGCAATAACCAGAAATCCTAAGGACGCAGTGAAAGTTACCCATAACGACAATTTGAACACTCTAGACATATAAATGTGCTCAATGATAGGGTCAATTTGCCCCCCTTTGGCTTTTTCTTGTGGCGACAGCAACTGTATGTTGTCACTCCCCAGGGCAGCCGCAAGCGTGGTGGCCATGGTAGTTGACCGACGAATTGTGTTCTCGTTGCCAGCGCCGTATAGCACAACATTTTCGTCGTCGTAATTGTTTTCTTTTTCTAAACTTCCAGTTAGCTTTCATTGTATCGTATTGCCTCGGGGATAAAATAGATGTCTACCTAGGAAAACCTGCAGCATTCCAATTGCTGGCTGTAATAGTAGTAGTAAAGCCAGTATCTGACCAAACCCCATCTCCAGCTCTCCCGTTTGTGTGCTTTGATCGGCCCACGTGATGCGTGGTTTGAGTAATCGAACAGTTCCCCACACTAGTATAAACATGAGGCTGAAGATAGTTGCCATGAATGATTCAAGAAGCTCCGCCCCGAGAACGTAGAGGACATATATCCTGATGACTGATTTGTAAAAAGTCCACATCAGAATGCGTGAAATGATATTTCTGGCAGGATACCGCAGTATCCGTCGGGCGAGGCCCTCCATGGCAGCTTCGGCCCGTCCACGACCCCAAAATCGAATCCATTCTTGACTCTGGTTGAATAACTGACTCAACTTCCACGCATATGTCAGGATCAGCGGGACGAAGGTGATTATGGTGTCCACGTCTTCGAAGATATTAATCATGGTGGTTGGTCCTGATATAATTGCTGGTTGGGCCTGTGAATCAAAGAAGCATCTCGCCGGAACCGATACAGACACGGGCTTGCCTGAATACCAACTAATGTACGTTGCCGACCTCCATGCGTCAGTCACCGTGGGGACTAATCCCACTATGAGAAGCAATAGAGTACAAAGCATCAAGCACAGCCGAAAATTGCGCAATAGTGGGTTCGCATTCAGTTTCTCTCGGAGGAGTGAGAGTGTCATAAGGTGTACGGTGGAGCTAATCCAGGCCAGATAAATCACTATGGTCCAGTGATAGACTGAAAGATCGTAAAAGAAAACCTGCACGTAGCCAGCTGTAAGAATAGCCAGACCTGTGATCAACTGCTGATCGCTGATAATCAACGTTGTCTCCTCGATGATCTTTTTCCAACGACTTTGCGCATTTCTAGAGTTGGCAGAGAATAGGCGCGAGTCTACACGCCGAAAGAGTGTTCTTGGCAAGAGTCCATACCAATAACACCATAGCAAGAGGCCCAGGAAGGTGTAGGCAGAGACCAGGGAAGAAGTGATTACCTAGGTGGCTACTGTGAGTACAGACTCTCGGAGGCCCCAGATACATCCAAGATTCTTACCCCGAGTCCTGCAACATCTGCATTCGGCTTGAGACTAGAACAATCGAAAAACCAGTCGCAGCTCGGAGGAGACGTTTCTGTAACGTGTACAGCAACGCTGACTAGTGTGTATACCTCATTCGAAAAGTATGTAGATGACACAGTGGAAGTGGCCGTTGTAGCACCTAGAGTGCAATTGTATTGAGTTTGAGTGGTAAAGACAGTCGTGGCCATTTTTCGTCTATGGTGAGTGCACTGAGTGGTCTCGAGTTGCAACAAATTTGATCTTCAAGTCAATAATGCAAATGACTTTTAGCCGAGTCAAGGACGAACAGTGAACTGAGGGGCAGCGCTGAATAAATATTTGACGAGGCTGCATTGTAGCAGGGGGTGAGATTCATGTTACACAGTACATAGTATACCTAGGTACATACTAGGCAGGCAGCTTTCGTGGCTGACGTTGGGGGCTGACACGTACTAGGACCCACACTCAGTACAACGACAGCCCCCAAAGCCACACCGGCTTTTCCGCCCTTTTACTTTTACAGGACGAAAGTAACCAAATACCACAAATACATCTTTTTGCACTCCGCATAGCTTATTTCGAATAATCGGGGCCACGTTTCTACGTGATTTGGAAATATGGTTCTTCCATCATCCCATAATTCCTACCGGTAATTCGGAATCATGAGTCAAGCTACTCCTTTACTGTGGTGAAGCTCATTCGCATGAACTTGGACATCTGTCAGGTACTTGTCAAACTTGCGAAGGTTGACTTTCTTCTCGAACCTGATGAGTCGGTACAATGATTAGTTACGTGAGAACGAACGCGAAGGATTTAAACTTTAGTTCTATTGGCTTGAACTTACAGCTCGTCAATCTCAGCCGGCGTGCGACGCGTGACTTCGGGAAGGATGAACCACGCAATGACTGTTGCAATAGCACCAGAAGCTGCGAAAAAGAAGCCAGTCTTGACGCCCCATTGAGCGCTACCATTGATCATGAGTGGTGTACACTAAAAGTTGGCCGTCAATATCAGTATTGTGAAGTTCGAATCAAACTCAGAAACGATCTAGCAATGGACACGAGCGTCACTTACGAAACTGAACATGATGGCAACCAGATTTGACAAGGCTAGGGACCAAGCTGCCGTCTGCGCGCGAAGCCGCTGTTGGGGGATTTCAGCCGCATAGGCATAGCCGATGGCAGAAGCGCCAGTAGTCGAAAAGGTGGCCAGACACGCAAAGAATACCTGCCGATACAACGTCAGTCCTTATAATGCTAAACTCTCTCCGTTTTAACTGACCAAGAGTGCGCTTGTGGCTTGTTTTGTGTAGTCCACACACCCCATGATGCCCAGGCACAATACAGACACCACGGTCACCGCGTACGGATAGACTGTGAGAGGTCGTCGACCTACCCGGTCGGTGGTGACAGTGGTCAGTATCATGGAGATTAGCTGCACGCAGGACAAGACTATCGTAACCAAAAATGGGTTCTTGTTGCCGGCGTATTGAACTGTGGATTAAGTGTAAGCGCAGCCTCTTGGCAGACTCCAATGCTTGAGACCACCTACAGAAATAAGTCGCATAGGTATTGAAGACGGATAAACCGACAAACTGCTGTGCAATCTTTGGCCAACCGGCGATAATGAATCTCAAAAGATTGCGGCCTTGAAAAACAGCAAATGTCCCCTGCTCCTTATTGATCTCGGCTTGCTGGCGTTCCAGATCAATAGTAGCCGTCATGATTTCCTTTGCCAAAGATTAGAGCGACGAAACATTACGGATCATTTCTCTGTGGTATTGAAACTCACAATCTTCTCCTGGACATCATAGCCTTCAACTTGACCGTTGCAGGAATGCAAAATTTCGGCAGCTTTCTCTAGCTTGCCTTTGCTTACAAGCCACCAGGGCGACTCGGGCAAGAATGCGAATACGACGCCTATACCGCCAATCATTGCCCACTGTCGATTAAACAGTGTATTAGCACCCAAATAATCGCGAACTACGGATTCAGGTCCTAGAATATACCTGAGTATAAATTGGAACTTTATAATCATACGGGTCGCTAGCGTTGAGTCTGTTCAACGCCACAGACGCGAAAAGCTGCCCCAGGACGAACCACCTAAGCGAGTCAGCAGTAATTCGGTGTATTCCTAATGCTACAAATGTTGCTTACAAGCTATACGCGTTGATAAAGAAGCCTTTGAGCTGAGTCGGGGCAATCTCGGACAAGTAGAGAGGCATTGTGGATTGAAGCATGCCAACTCCCATTCCCGATAGAAGCTTGGCGATTAGCCAATGGTCCCAGTGGCTTGCGAAAGACTCTGTAAAGATGCTCTATTCATTTTTGTTAGAATGAAGAAGGGCATGCATGGTCCGAAATTGAGGTGTTGACTGACCGCAACGAGAATTATCCAGATGATCCAAAGGGCTGGTTTCCGACCAAGCCTTTCGGTCGCATATTGAAGAAGCTTGACATGAAATGATCAGCACATCTGTGACCAGCGAGTCATTTATTCTGAGATCCCGACTACTTACGACTTGGCCAAAGAATTGACCAGCAGACTGGATGCCACCCCAAGCCGAAACGTACTTGCTGTCGATAATGGTGGTGCCCGGGTTTGCCATCTGCCGGATGAACCCCTTGTTTGCCACGATACCGCCGTTCAGATTGATTTCTACAGTGATCCACAGTTAGTATAATCGCTATTGTGAGATTGTCCCAACTCTTGTTGCTGCTTACGATAGCCGTCAAGTGATGCACAGAAAGCAGCCGCCATCGCTATGCATCCCACTTTCTTGAACCGACGCACACTCTGCCAGACGGTGAAGTCGTCTACCGCCGCCCGCATCACGGGCCCATCGTCTTTCGGGACAGCGACCTGCTCCTTTTGGGAGACGCGGGCTTCAATGCCTTCGATCTCAGTCGCCTTGGGCTCCATCTCGTCGCGAGTTCACTTGGAAAGTATCAAAGCAAATTGACCGATTGGGTATGCAGCTGTCTTGGCTCTCGGTAAGGAGGAATCTATACACATGCTGGATGTGCCTGGCTTTTCAACAACATTTCAAGGTCGTGGGACTTCGTGTCCGGGGAAGTCGGGGCCGCATCCTTGCACAGGTGGTAGTAGGATGCGGGGACCCCAGACCAAGATCCCGGCCATAGGTGTAGTCACCTTCAGGCTTGTCCGTGGAGGGCGAGACATCACACCAGGCCGGTAGCGAGCCTTGATTCGCTTCCAATGGCGTGGGTCCATGTTTACGTGGGAGTAGTAGCTGGCCAGTTGCACTAGTTTCTGGTATTCACCTAGGAGTAGGTCAAAACTAGGTAGTCTTTGGGCGTGATCCAAATGGACATTTGACAGAGCGGGCTGCGGATCTATTGAATGGCTGCACAGTCTACCTATGCACAGTTCCCTCGCTAATGGAATCCCATGCACGTTCCACGAATGAGGATGGGTTCTCGGTTATGAACAACCCGACAAGCCAGCATCAGTCCTTTCGTAGCTAAAGTTCAATTGAATCAAACCGGTGACGTGTACCCCAGAGTTCAGCAAGTCATTTCCGGCAGCTACGGCCCGTACGCAGTAGCTCGATCACTCGGGATCTTTAACTCGGGATTGTAGAATTCAAATCAAGCCTTTAAGCGAGATGGCTTCCGCAGTAGAACAAAATCTCCCGTCCGATATTCGTACTTCAACTCCGTACAAGATATTTTCACAAATGCATGGTGGAAATCCAAGTAATTCGCCGCGGCTGATGTTGAGGGTCGCGACATTTACAGATTCGGGCAGTTTGACTGAACAATCATCGCACTGTAGGCCCTGAAAGCTTCTCGGAGCAAAGATTTGGGTTGAAAACTTTGTAGCGCAGACTCAATTCCAGCTGTATTATCTTTATCTAGAATGTTTTTCAAGGGGGGAATTTTCTATGAGATATGGGGAAAACTCACAGCGATGCACTCTCACGGCTACTACACGATTGCGCAGTTGATCTTCTGTGGCATTACATGCACGACTGACTTCATCAGGAATCGATCAGCCACCAGCCGTGCGGGCCGTGCCTAGGTAGGTTGCAGTTTCGCATGTATGTTTACGCACAGAAGCGGTTTTCAAAGGCGTTGGGTCGCAATGCACCCACCTTCGATTGCATCATGCATGCATTGTGCTACATCAAAATAGATTCAATCAAGCTCAATTCTCCTTCTTGCTGCAGGCTAAAGGGGAGGAGGGGGGGGGTGGCGGGTCCCTTTGCTTTCTTGAAAAAAAGAAGAAAAAAAAAAAGAGACCTCCATCTCCTCAGGGATCTTCATCTATCCCAAAGCTCTGCATACACCTCGCATACTACTTTTCTTTGCTGCAAGAACTATACCCCCTTTACTTCGTCACTTTCAAGACCCGACTATCACTCCATTTACGGTGATATGCCGGCGACAATATAGCATCGGGTATACCTTTGACCATAACGGCGAAATGACAATGCTCAAAATGTTCCCAAGGCTATTGTGCGCAATTGTGCTTGCAGTCGGTGTTGCTGCAGAGGATGGAGACGACTTTGCGAACAATCTGTTATCAGACCTGGCACCGTAAGTCTACATACCCAGATTTGTACCGTGAGTAATGCTGTTTATTAATTATCTCCCACGATAGCTTGCTCGCTCTATTCGGAGAACGCGTCACTATGCAATTCATGAGCCAGTCCTTGGGCTGGGCCGATAACATCATTCTAGCAATGGTCCCGCTTGGAATCATTACAATCATTTCTAGCGCTATCCGAGTCGGAGGACCTTCATTTCTCAAAGCTCTTATCGGCAGGGCTAGAGAAAATCTTGCCATTGCCGAACAAGAGCTCATGTCGTCGACTTCAAAAGAGGTCTGTGAGCTTTGGAATGGCCATGAAGTAGTGAGATGTATGGGGTCGTGTCCAGTTTCGGAATTCATTTGTTTGCTTCCGGGCCCTCCAATTGTTTGGAATGGAGACGTTACAGTGATGAAATTTGATGAGGTCTTGGAAAAGCATTTCTTGGAAAGAGGTCGGTTATTTCTTTCATTCCCTACATTTTCTACCTCTACTCAAGTTGGCGAACTTAATCTCACTCTCTTGCTAGAGGAAAAAACGTGGAAAGACATGTACAAACGTATCCGTAATGCTATATCACCGAACTCGCCTAAAGGTCAGAAGGAAGTGATCAAAATCGAATCAAAGCCAAAGAAACCGTTAGCATCCATCATCATTACGCGCAATCCAGGCATAGACGCTCCAAATGTCTCTCTCAACTCGCATAGTCATACGAGCAGAGCTGAATTGCGCATGGTGGCTGTCTTGGGAATTATTTTCCAGCTGGGAGTTCTTATCTTCTCGGGATGTGCTGTGTATCACCCAACTCTCGAAGTCAGACTTCAGAAAGATGGGAATCCTGTCGCCAGATATGCATTCCCATGCAATGCGATAGGTACAGTTCTGCTGGTAGTTGGCATGCTCCTATGTGCCCACGTTGTGGAGAGCAGCACTAGCGAGAAGACATTTCGGCCGTCAAACAACCTGAAGGCGCAACTGGTCTGGCTACAGCAGAAAAAAACAGTGAATGACCAGGTCTTTGACTCCTTTGCAATTTACGCAAAGACTAAACGAGCCTCCATAACAACGTCGAGGCGATGGAGTGAAGATAAGACTACACAGGACCAGAGCGATAAGCTATCCGTGGGAGTACTGGACCAGCAGCCACCAAGTCAGCCGCCAGCATCAACGGCCACCTCTTCTCCAGATGTCACACGACTGCCTCATCCACAGGGAGACGTCCTAGAGATGAAGACCATACTTGGAACGACTATCGGCCTATGTGGATTCATTGTGCAGTTTGTAGGTTTGCGTGGACTACATTGGTCAGCATCAATTGTTCAACTTGGTGTAGTTCTTTTGATGACGGGGCTGAGGGCTTGGGTACGTCGTGGGCTTGCTAAGCCTCCGTGTTGCCAGCATATCTTGTCAGAATTCGAATTGGACTGGTTCGCGACGACGTTCGCAGATGCTAAGAAAGCCCCGTGGTGGCCTGATGTGCAGAACAAAGAAAACAAGAGATGGTCACTTGACCGTTTAGAAGCAACCGACACTGGCTTTGGTAACATTAGTGAGCCACCGCAGAGTGAGCTTCCACATCTGCATGCACACCGCGTGATGAAGATTAGGAGAGATCTAGCCCAGCTGGCATCCTGGCATGGGCCTGTTTCTGCAGAGGCCATCTCTATTGCACGATCAATTGAGGTGACGATGGACTTTTTCTTCCGTGACACGGAAGAATTGAATTATACCTGGGCTCTCAATTCTCCAACCCACGACCTTGTTGTTCTCCGTTTGCATCGAGAAAATGGAAAGTGGCAAGCGTATGCTGATGAGCTTGAAGCGGCTTTGTCGCTGTGGCTTTTTTCTGTCGACAAGGCTGAGAATGATGACGAACTTGATCATTTGAACAAATCGCCTATAGGAGATGCACAAGACGACAAGTGGCTGCGCGCTAAAGGGTTATCTGCGAAGAATAGCCTACGTATTCTTGGCTCGTATAGTCAAAGTCTTCATCGGGACCTCTGGTGGTGGATACCTCACGAGACAACTAGAATCATCAGTCTGACAGAGGTCGGGGATACTACAGACCTAGCTCAACCACTGAGTGTGCGAACGCACAGAATCGTCGGGTCTGGGAGAATTTCTCGGCACACAGGTAAGGAGACTAGATACGGGATCAAGGAACTACCGGAAATCAATTTCAACTCAAAGTCATCCAGAAACAGTGATGAAAAAGGCGAGAACGACAACACAACAATCACCACAACAGAGGATGAAGACAGCCAAAAGCGATTAGCTGTTGAGTTCAATGGACCCTTGAGATCATTGTTTGCACAAGACATCTTTTCCAGCTTTTGGGTGTCCGCAGCAAAAACTCTAACAGAGTCATCTTTCACCGAGCCTGCGGAGATATATTCCAATCACACTACGTCCAATGAACCATGGCGATCATTCTCTTCATCAATTTCTCTAAGAAACGAGCAGTTCACAAAGTTGGCCAGAACCATTCAGAGCACTGGACTTGGCAGCCTAGACGACATTTACCTCAGCATGATCCCACCACTCAGCGCAGCAAACAAGCTCCCACCAGTATCACACGTCATTGACTTGGCAAGACACCACGCCGAACCCCACGAGTACCAGCAACGCTGGAACGAAGCCAGCTACGTGTACCTGTGGCTCTTCAGTGTGGCAAAGACATTTCCTGCAGACAGTGAATTTGCTACTCAGGCTATAGCCGTAGTGGTGGAATTTCTACGACAAGTCAGCTCAGCACTGGATTTTTGCGAAAGGTTAAAAGATCATCGTCGTCAGACAATCCTCCAGCGACTGAAGCATGGGCTTGAAAATAAGCTTGTTTCCAGCAACAACAAGATAAAAAAGACCATTGCAAGCCTACTCGAATTATACACAGCTCAGCAGCGCCCATGGGATAGCAACAGCATTGTTTGGGGCGATGGGAAACAATAATGGAAACAGCGAAAAAAGCGGCCAAAGAGAATGGGTGTTTCCCAAAACATTCAATTTCACTGAGGATCACAGATTAGCTCTGGAACCTGAGTTGGATATTTATCCTAACCAAAGGAGATGGGAAAACAAGGGAGATATCAACACGAAAGATGTTCTCGGCTGGACGCCTCTGCATTACGCGGGACTACCATCTCCATCGGGCACGGTGCTGGCACCATACCTGCGCGTCTTTCCTCTCGGAATGAGCGAACTAGAAGTGAACTCCCAGGATTTGCTTGGATGGACACCACTTCACTACGCATGTGGTACGAAGAAACCCGCCGTTTCTTTCATACGAGAGCTCGTACGATCGGGTGCAGACATCAATATACAAGGCAGGGATGGAGTAGCGCCAATTCACTGCGCCGCAATGAATGGAAATTTGGAGGTGGTGAACTTACTGGCCGAGTCAGGCGCAAATATTGACATTCAAGACGCCTCGGGGAAAACACCCCTTCTTTGGGCTTGTATCAGCAGAAACCGAGGCACCGTTGAATATCTGTTGAAAAATGCCAACACAAAGCTTCGAGATGGCGACGGCAGAACAGCTCTGCACTTGGCAGCGACGTTCGCCGATGATAAGACGGTATCATGGCTACTCGAACATGGTGCTGATGCGCTGGCTGTGGATCGAGAAGTGATGGCCCCGCTGCATTGCGCTGCTGAGTGTGGGCATTTGGAGATTGTCCAACTTTTGTGCCAGGTGGGCAAAGCTGATGTAAACGCAAAGGACGGCTACCAAACGACGCCATTACATTATGCCGTCCTAGGCGGTCACGAACCAGTTGTAAGATGGCTTGTCAGAGAATCAGAGGCTGATTTAAATGCCAAAAACTGGAGGGATATGATGCCATTACATTATGCTGCCCTATGCGGTCACGAAGCAATTGTGAAATGCCTTATCAAAGAAGCAGGGGCTGATGCGGAGGCCCGAGGAGGTGAAGAGAAGGGAACGGCCATATATTTCGCTGTCAGGGGACGCCACGAAAGCATTGTGCAGTTCTTGATCGATCAAAAAGTCAACATCGAGGCTAATAGCATCCTGGAAGAGCCTGTGCTGCACCTGGCCGTACGCAGGAGGGCACTAGGAATCGCAAAGCTGCTTTTGGACGCAGGAGCAAGAGAGTACCGGAATTATAAAGGGCAGACAGCGCTCGACCTTGCGGGTGAGGAGAGGGATGCTTTTACAAAACTATTTGCACCATACCACTCCACAGGGTAACTACACAGGTAGCTCAAGAACAAGAGAAGAAGGAAGAAGAAAACAAGCTTCGCATTTTCCTAAAGAAAACGTATAGCCGCTCAGCCAAGCCGCCTCAACCCTCATCTTTTACGTCGCCGCCCAAGCGCAAGCCTTGGAACAACGCATTCGCTTGCTGTGAATATTCTTTGTCAGAAATGGTGGCATTAATTGATGAGACAGTGTCTTACTGTCCAAGCCGCCTTCTTCTCGAAAGTGGCATATTCTTAGCTGTTCTGATGAACCCTTGACTTTGGGTAGCTGGCGACGAAAGCTAGCCATTCCTTGTAGCAAGTTACTGGGCTCACACAATTATGGGTGTTACTAACTGTTAGGTTCGGGCACAGCTGATTGTCTTGTAAGTTTTCTTTAAGCATGGACCCTTCATTGTCGATTTCTGTCATGAACTTCTGTTCGCTAATGGTATGAGATACATATTTGATGAGGCTGTGTACCTACTTATCTTTGACATTCTTGATGTATACCGATTGCCTGAGAATCTGCGGTACGGGCGGCATTGTGGAACGAGTTCAAGCCTTGTATTGCATTTGGTTCCTCTCGTCTCGGCAAGAGCACAACGATTCCCGAAGCCAGTACGCAGAAATATAATGTTTAATCACTGTCCGTGTACAGTTCCAAAACATACAGTCTAATGTGGCGAACCATGGTATATCGAGAGCCAGATTGAAGATGGTCGGTTGGGTTCGGCTACCATATGATGCGCCAAAAAATTGTTTGCCAATTTAATTTATTTCCCTTGCCCTAGCAAGCGTCGCCGTCATGGTTTATGTACAGGCTATACAATACATCCGTTGCAAGCTCAGAATGCGTGAAACTCGTTGTGCAATCCTCGTGCATTTATTTTTCTTCTCAGGCCGTCGATTCTATGTCTAGTTGCGGTCGAAGTATGTCCACTGGCCCTCGACGGGCTTCTCCTCCAGCTCCTCCCATCTGTCACATGTATTAGCATTGCTTAATTCGAAGTGTGTCATGGCGTCACTTACGGCTTAGCCTGGAGCATGTAGTCGACGAGCTTGAGCTCGCTCTCTGCCATCTGCACAACCTCCTCAATCAAACCAGCACCAATCTTCTGCTCAATCTCCTCGACCCTGCCGAATGTTAGTCTCGGGTGCCCTGAACGGGTCAATGCATTGCTCGTGGACGTACTGGTCGGCGGTCAGTTGGGGCTCGGGCTCCCACTTGACCTGGGACTGCTTGAGCTCGAGGGGCTTCCTCGAGAAGATGAGATCGGCATCGGCGCGCTCAGCCTCGGAACGCAGACCCTCGCGCTCACCACCCTCGTCAAGCTCGCCGTCCCACTCCTCGTAGCGCTCGTCCTTGACCTGCGGGTCGTGGCGCAGCAGGAAGGTCTGGTCGCCCTTGGTGATGATCTGGGCCTGGGCGCCGTCAATGGCGGCCTCGGAAGCAATGTTGAAGCCCTCGGGGTTCTCCTTGAGGACCTTTTGGGCGCGGGTCTGCCACTCCTTGTATCCGGGGGGCTCAGCGGCGGCGACAATGGCCATGCGGTGCTTGGTCAGGGCCTCGATGGACTGGCGGTAGAGCGACGACTCGGGCGCGGCCTTGAGCTTGTCGAGGGTCGAGCTGTAAAGGTAGAGCAGCGACGAGCGCGGCGAGCTGTGCGTGTACAGACCCGTGAGGCCGGTCGGGTTGCCGGCCTCGAGGTAGCGGACCGGCTTGACGGCGGCAAAGAGTCGTAGTGTCCGGCGCATCGTGAGCGATGATCCAATGGCTGGAATTGGAGTCGTGGTACGTAGAGGGAAATGCACGGGCAGCTAACCCAATGATGCTCTCATGAAGTTGCAAGCACCAGTGCAGTGCCGGGACCCACCAAGTCACATGACGATCCAATTGAATTTCTGGACTTGTCAGCCTCTTTAGATGAATAAACCCTGTTATGCACGCATAACTTTTCATGAGAACCGACAACGGTGAGAGAAGGAGCAAATGATAATTGAAGAGTAGCATGAAAATAAGCAAAAAATGACAATTTCTGTCATTCCAATTGAAGCTTCTCATTTATCCTTAATTTCGTTCATTCATTCGTACTGCAGTGTGAATCTGAATGTTGGCTTGAGCACTCTCAAAGTTCCTGTTTTGAGGCAAACTCTTGACTCTTGAGCTTGTAAGTCGTGCATGATACACAAACGGGTTCTAGAATGGCATTTGACTAATAGATCCCTAGTCTAAGAAATCTATAAACATTGAAGAAGTGTTTCGCCAAACGGTGTATTGGAAAGACTTTGCAACCTCAAAGACTAGCGCCGGGCAGGTCCTGGCCACTGTTTGAGATCACCAAACATGGTCGGTGGACCTTTTGCGCTTCCATTGCCCGTTTGGCGTCAAGCAACTTCGGCCCAGAGAGCGGACTCGCGCAAGCGGAAAAGAAGGGAAGGGACACTACCCGAGGATAACTCTTCCCAGGATGATGAGCCTTTGACACCATCAGCGCTGCCATCAGACTCCATCAACCCTCGGAGCCATTCTCCCGACACCCTCCGCCAGTTTGCTGTTGCGGGTCTCTCCCCAGACGAGGAGGTACCGTCCAAATTATATCCAAGGTTTCCTCATAGGTCACTGCCGTCAGGATGGCAGACGGGGGAGGTACCGAGGCGGCGGCGTAGCCGCAGCCGAACGTCGGGCGTGACGAGCGAATCCGAGGCAGAGGGTGCCGAGACGGACGGCGAGACCGTCCGGCGGCTCACCAAGAACGGCCGCGGCGAGCTCATGTCCAGCCACGCGGACATCTTCAAGCACATGAGCACCCTGATGGCCATTCTGCACCGCTGTATCCACGAGGGCGACATGCGGCGCGCCAAGCGGGCCTTTGGCCTCCTGCTCGGCACCCGGCACGTCGATGTACGCCTCAACGACATGTGGACGTTGGGGACGGAAATTCTGATGCGGGATGGCGAGACGAATAAACGGCAGCAGGCGCGCTCTAGTGAGGCCTCGACGGACCACAGCCACACCGATGGTGACGGCCCTGACGCGGCCAATGGTGATGCACGTCCACCACCGCCCGCGCGTTGGGGCTCTGCAGACAATATGCAAAAGGTCCGCGACTACATCGAAACACTCGCTCAGCATCATCCGTACGATGTTCATTTCACTCGCTCCGTCAGCGCGGTTGACTTTTGGCCGGCGCTCTACAATATCGAGATCTACAACGTCGATGCCGAGCACAGACGGGCATTGCATAGGCTGGAGGATTCGGCCGCTCTTGAAGATGAAGATGACGGCAACGACGAATTCGACATGCCATACGATGATCAATACCCAGACGGTGATGGCGATGGCGACTATGAGGCTCGCTTGGAGAGGCGCTCCCAGCAGCGCGAGGCGGTCCGGGCCCGGAAACAGTGTGCAGCGAGGGACGAGATCCAAAATGAGACACGCGTGGCAGCGCAACAGATCGCCGAAAGGATGGATAATTTGATGATGGCAGTGCCATATACGACTCATGTCGAACTTTTACGCCTCCGGGGCATGCTGTCACTTTTTATTGGTGACTTGCAACTGCCAACCAGGCTATTGCACCGGTGCAACCTCATAGGGTACACGACAAGCGAGCTCAGACTTACGACCCTCAAGGAGCGGGTTCGGAATCAAGTTCAAAGTCAGGAGGACTGGGAGGCTGTGTGGAGGTGGGAGTCTGAAGTTGACAAGGCAAAACTCCAGTTCGAAAAACTAGCTGAGAAGGGCATACGCCTTGAACCATGGCTAGCAAAATACCTAGAACCTGATGAAGACGTTGACACGTCGCGATAGTGGTCGAATTCAATCCTACATATTGAGGTTGAGTAGATCAGCTTAGATGGCATTGCATTCCAAACTGCCCTAGGAAAGAAGCTAACAGCTTTATGCTTTTTCTTTCTTTTGCCAACGAGATAGAACGACTCCCAAATTCCGGCTGCCAACCACAATGCACCAGTCTCCTGATGGGCTCCAAGCAACCTGTCTTCCAATAAAATCCTTAATGCTGATAGTTCTCTGACTATGGGCCTTGAGCGCCTCGTCTGTGCGGGTGATGTCGTATCTATTAGACCATGAATCAAGCGTCTCTTGGCTGTAATGATTACTTGTAGCGGCTGGTTCAAGATCACTACCCGTACGCCCCGAAATGACGGAATCTTTATCTTCGGCATCATTTCGCAGCTTACTGATGGTGTCCGCCTTTTGCCTCTGAACAACGGGTTGCAGCCAACTTGGCCGGTGAAGCGCTGTCGCTCGATTCGGCTTCTTGAGCTCTGTCATGAATTCGTGGAAGGCCGTTATTCTAGCCAGATCCCAGAAGAAGACTGTCGAATGAGCGTTTCCGAATGCCAGGATAGGATGTTTGTCCTTGTCAAGGAAGAGCTTGAAGCGCATGTAGAATTGGTTGCCGCTTCCCGGTGTATGGAATTGTATCATTCGAATATACGGAGGAATCGCCGCAGCTGTTGTGGGAACAAATGCCGATCGAGTCAGACGTTCAGGGTCGCTAGTACTTGGGGCTTCGCTGGCCGACGGGGGTTCGTTCTTGGAAGAAAAGCCTTCAATTCTCCATAGCACAATAATATCTTCATGACAGGCTCTTGATAGGATCAAGTCTCCGTAGAATGCAACACTGAGACGTCAGAAGAGAAGGAAGCTTGAGTGGGACTAGAGACATACCAATCAACGATCCCACTATGGACCTCTGAAGTGTAAAAGTGAGGATAATGAACTACCACTGGGGGAGGAGGGTTCTTGTCCCGAGATCTCTGTGAAAAGTCTGGCAAGGTCCACTGCAAACATAACTGGTCAACGGAGGGAGCAGTACCGAAAATCAATCAAGACCTTACCAAGCATACACAGTTGTCGTGCCCTGCAGAAAGAACGTAGCGGCCACATTCGTGAAAAGCCTAAAGCGAGTCAGTTGGTGACATTCAAAGGTATCGAGCAGGACTACGTTACAGTTGTCAGGAGGCCGGAGCTGTGGCCCTCTCCGCCGAGGATGGCCAGGCATGGCTGCTTCTGGTCGACAGGATCGAGGCTCCAAATTCTTACAGTGGTATCTTGCGACGCAGAAGCAATTACATAGGGGTTTGTAGGGCAGGTGGCAAGATCATTGATTTCCTAGTTCGGGGTCAGTGGTGATGGGAATTAGAGACCTGACGGTGAACTCACGGCTCCATGACCAACAATGCACTATTCAGATGTCAGTCAAGCATAAACGCAGTCACCTATTGACGATACCCTACCTTGACCAAGGATCCATGGATCACATCGTAAACCTTGATTTTTGCATCTGAACCGGCCACACAGAGCCAGGGGATTTCCGTTTCGGAATCTCTGCTCCAGGTGCAGCTACAGTTGTTGGCATTTTCCTGATTCGATATCAGCGTCTCACATCCATAAAGGGTGAAACGTAATCAAGGCACTTACATCGTCGTCTCGCAGGACCTGTATCAGCTGCACAGGCGAGGTTGCTGTGTGTGACAAGCGATAAATGATAATCTCATCAAAACAAGGTCAGGTTGGTGGTTCATTGGAGGCGCTCCCATCATGACGAAATACTTACATGCTTCTTGCTCACGGCCGCGAAGATGGGATCGTCTTTGGGGTCTAGATACGGATAGAACTTGACATCAAGGAACTCTGCAATGCGTCCGAGGGGTTTCGGTCAGCATGTCCAAATCTTCAAGAAGCCGAGACTTCCCTTGCATACAACACACCTGTGTCTGGTTCATCAAGGTCCTCGTGGCGGTTTTCCTCCTACAGCGGTCGGTATAAGGATCAGTACACTAGACTAGACTAGAGACTCCTGGCAGTTGTCTAGAACCATGAAATGGTACAAGGCATACCTCGAAGCCGATGGAGGCTTTGAGCCGGGGGAGATCCCATTCGTCGTCAACAACGGCTGGCATCGTGGGCAGGGACTAGCGGGACCGGGGCGCATTCCCGAGTTGCGTGTCTAATGTGGGTGTTTGGACCCTCGAATTGTCAATATGCAGGTGTGAAGGTCTGGTTCAACGGGTGGAGTTGTCTTTGGTGTGCCAATGACTGTTGCCAAGCCCGGAATAGTGGTGATCAATGTGATTGATCTCGACGGTTGATGCCTCCCTGCAGCAATCGGGAATGCTCAATGACCGCCCGGACTTTGGTTGCACCCCCACAACCCTGCTCGTTCAGTATCACTTCCCTTGCTCGTGGATGGCAGTGAACGACCCACCTCCGAACATTACTAGGTACCTAGGAAAGAAGAATATGGACTGAAATTTGAATGCAGTGTAAAGTTGAGTCCATTGACTGATCTTTCACGGAGAGGACCAAAGCCGAGTTGTCCAACTGCCCATAACAGTCTCTGTTATAACAAGGACCAAACTTGTGAGTGCAGGGCTGCTGCCGAGCTTTGCGGATAGTTGAGTGGTCAGATCAGTGCATGTGTACCCTACTGCGTACAAGCTGTTTATTAGAGTAAATCGAGACCAGGAAAATAGAATGGGTTCTTATGGGCAATCTTTTTATAAGACAAGAAAAAACGTGCAGAATGAGGCAGGGGGAAAACGGTCCAAAGTCTTGCCAGAGTTGGTATCTTGCTGGTAACGTTTTGTTGTTGTTTTGTTGCCTCGCGAGTTCGGCGATTTACGAGGGCTGTTGCTAGATGAAGCGAGAGAGCACCAGCAGTCGTTGCGCCCCCTGTCAGTTGGCAGGTACATCACTAGTAATTATTTCTTGAAAGAACTTCCAGCGCGTTTACAGAGTAGACTAGGTACCGCCCTAGTAATTTTGGGCCGGGATTTTTTGGCAGCTTATCTTATCGGCGCGCATCTGTAATGTCATCGACATATTCGAACATTGAGCACACTGATGGACGAAGGCAGATACAAGGCATTGATGGTGTATTGATCTCCTCAAAAGTGCCTAAACCACGGCATCTTCTTCTTGAGCAAATTCCAAGAGTAAAAACTATATCTTGATGACTCTGGCGAGGCATGGGCATCCTGTATCAGCTGGCCATCAGCCGCAGCCTACCTAACATGTATGTTGGGGAGCTTCACTGATTTTACTCTACAAGCCATGTGAGATTATAAGTGCATGTTACAACTATTCGGCCATGCAAATTATCTTGTTTTCTTTCCACAGTTTCCCGCCTCGGTATTCGCTTTTCTTGCTCTGCGCGAAATGGAGCTACTATCACATGTTGGACGAATCTGTGACTGTCACTTCTCAATAAAGAATGGCCCATGCACCTGTTTCGAAGCTCGCTATAACGGCCACACAGTTCAAGATACAGATCCTACTTTGATGGTGCAGAGACGTGATACGCGTTATGGAAGAGAATTGCAGGGCAGCAGGTTCTTTGCACAAGTTTCGTCGATCAATTTAGGTGTTCTCTGTACCGTAGATTCCTTCCAGACCACCTTTGTATCCGTAACAAATGGGATTTACATAGTACGTCTTTTGGACGAAATCATGACCAGGTCGTACCAAACACATTATACCATGATTTATTTGGCGAGGTGGGGGAAGTATTGCTTCCACGGAAAACTCAATGCAACTGTGAGAAATGGCCCCTCGATCTATGTTATCCCGGCAATGTAATCAACGCATTTGTCACCCATATGGCCATGGACATTCTTGCCACTATGGCTACATTCTTTGGGAGGGCTGCTTGTTCATACCATCAGGCTCGTGGCAGAAAACAACGAAGAGCATTCTGGCTACATGCATGATAGGACGGTAGAGAGGTATTATTCCGCGTTGCTTGAAGATCATGCCTCATAATTTCGACGACATCCGCCGGCAGTGGCTGTCATGCGAGATCTTGCCAGGCACTTCAGCCCATGCCGTGCATTGCGTCCAAGATGCGCAAAACTACCTCCAGAGGCATGATTTCGCTACTCTCGACTCGTTACTACTTTTTCTTTATTCAAACATTGTACACTATTTCCTTCCTCTGCCGTTTGGAGTGGTATGCATGAACCACCCTCGCACAATCCCACGTCCGATAGTCTGGGTAGTTTTCTCCAGCCCCAGCAAGCCCCAGTCAAGCCAGCCCGCCAGCCCTCCCCCTAGTCTCCGAGATGGAGGGGGAGACAGCTGCATATGATCTCCAGCTGATTGGCTCGATGCGCAGCTTCCTCGAGGATACGCCTCGATCTTTGGCACTCTGGCGTCAGATTCAACGTCAGGCCTCGCAACAAGGCCAAAGCAACTTCATGTCGGCTGCGATGTACTCAAGCCACAACAAAGGTTCAATCGAAATTCATTGGCCAATCGAACCCACGATACCGCTGCGACATTTGACTCTGTCGTTTTTTTTAATTTTCATTCACTTACTCGATAGGTAAAGACATGAACCCGCGCAGCCATTACAGAAATTGACATATGTCAACTTACCCATTGTACTGCTACGGTGTCAATCAAGAAAATCAAACACGGCCAACAGGATGCAACCGGCAGACCTCGATCTCGATGGGCCTGATGGCATCGTTTTCGGTAGTAACGGTGATCTATCTTAGTGTGTCGTCTACCATGAGTCTTTTTAGCTTGCTGCTCTGCTCTGGTCCGTCTGCTAATGTACAAACCTAGAGGTATCCCTGCTGTTCATGTTAGGTCTACTCACTAGCGGACCTCTAAGTCGCAATGCTCGGCTTATTGGCCGGTAGCGCTAATGGTCGTTGACGGATGAAACACTCACCAGAGGTTACATGTGTAAACGGTGCTTCTGATCACCAACGGAATGTATATAGCAAAGATCATGTGCCTCAGTCAGACACTAGGTGGTAAATAGGTGCGCAAACTCAACTTTCAAGTGCCGTTGGACCAAGTGCAGTATTCCGCTCCACTGTCTGCCAAGACATCTAGAAAAACCTCCTGACATAGCGGTCCAAGACAGACTAAAAAGCAACGATAAGAGAGTGGGAAGTGATGTGAGACGTCTCAGCTTGCGTTATCTTGAAAAGCCTTGTTTGTTTTGGCAGTCATGAGCAGAACTCGCCGGTACTTCATATCTCTGGCACATTGTATACTCTATTTCGAATTCCGGCAAGCCTGTCAAAAAACGGTGCTGCAGTTTTGGCAGCCATATATCCATTGCCTGGTAGGTAGGTCCAGTTCAAGATCGGAGGCAAGCATTGTCAAGTTTTCCGATGTCCGATTCTGTTTTTTCTTTCTCTCCAACCCCTCAAAATCAATCCTGCACTGCACGACCAGTAAGAATTGTGAATGGCACAAAATAGGAAGAAATTTACAGATTTGTAAGATTCATCGAGCCTGGTATGACAAAATATGACGCCTAAAGTTGGATTCGCTTGGGTTTTACAAGTTGCTTCTCGCCAAGCTCTTATTTCCCTACCGACGACCGACCGACCTACCGACAGCGACGCTGGCGCTGTAGCAGTGAATGGACAGCACGGTCTCGCCCTGCAGCAGATCCCGAGAACCTGGTTTGCGTGCCCCATGCGCCGGATAGCTGCCTCGTCGCCTGTCAAAAAGTAAAGAAACCCAAGAAATGGGTTTCCTGAAGGCTTTACTAATTCAGCCATGCTCAAAATGACCATCTGCTCCGTTGGACCCTGGTCACTCGCAAGGTTTACCCGAATAGTACCTTTACCTCCGCATGCCTGATGAATCCTATAGTCGTATTACAATGCTGAGGACTATATTTGCATACTATGGCAAACTTTCCAACAATGCAACTCCACGATGAAATGTGATATTATGATGACCCAGGAAAATATCACATTGTTCAGAATCCACTACGGTGGACGAATCCATTTCATGGAGAGAGTTGCAATTGACTGCAGAAAAGTACAATGGGGCATCGTATGACACAGCATCTACACTCATTGTCCATGACGCACGAAGCATTTGCAGATTGTATTGCTATCGATTTCGTTGAATCACATCAGCATGTTGTCAATGCCTTGAACACACGAGATAGAGCAGGCAGTAGTCTGTAGATGATAATTCTCAGGGCTAACACATGATATTGTTCGTGCTGGGCCAGTGGAAACAGTGTATGCTTTTTACTACTATACTCCACTATAATCCGGAAAGAAAACAAATTATTTTCAATAACCCTTCGTGGACATCCGTGCATATTGGCACGGGAAATCCTTTTAGTGCCTTCGAGCCCACATTTGCCCTGGATGATTATAAGCACTTACGATTAGGCATACACGTGAGGATAGAGTAATGGCTGATATTGAAGAGTGATCTGCACAATACCCCTTGTTGAATGGCTTCGGATTGATATCTGCCGGGAGAAGCCAAAGCCAGAAAAGAGCCTGAACAACCCACTGTGATCATACTGCTACAAACCCGTCTAGGTGACAAGCCTCAAGTGCATCTTGCAGTGCGAGACTGTGCAGATACATGACATGGAGGGGGAAAAAAAAGTACGCAAATGCGCGTGAGCTCATCTATCATACTTCCGATGAGAAGGGACTCGGTGCTTTTTCTTGAGTATTCGCCCAACCAGATGCAGGCAGTATGATGCATTTGCGCGGGAGTCCCCATCAGTCATGACTAGGTAGGGGGGCATGGGAAGTGCGAGGTTGAGATATTCAGGGTACCTAATGCAGGTATTGAATGTGGAGATGCGCCAACCGCTGTTGGGTCCCTGGGGGACCTTGTGTCCTCGCTAAAACTCAGAGACCTCATGTACCTAGCCTCCCGCCCCCAAGAACGTACCTGTTTTACCCATCTTAGGTACCCATGAATCAATGATGGCAACGCCCAACGGCAGCTAAGGTGGAGTTGGTCGAGTGCCCCTACGCTACCGCAATGCCTTGCAGTAGGTACGCGATCAGGTACGTCAATGATGTACCGCACCTAGCTGGGCAATTGACATAAGGTACACAGCACCAGACCAGACAGATGGACCAGGCCCAGCTCGGAGCACCAAGTTGCCCGTCTGTCACGGATCACACCCAAACAATATGCATATACCTTTTTTCGATCCTCTTTTGCATGCCTGCTGCTTTATTACCTGCTTGCTTGTCTGCTTGCCTTGACGACCACGGGTACATATAATCCATGAGATCGCAAAACTTGATATTGCTACCCGCTTCCATACCACGACTTCACACAAGTTAAGAAAGAAAATATCCGAAGAATACGAAGACGCGGCAGATTGCAAAGCCGGCTCAGCTCGAAAAATAAGAACAAGCCCGCATCCTCTCTTGCCATCCAATCTTCTCTACGCTACTCAGCTCTTCATTAACCAACCCATCGACTCCCTCTCACCTACAATACATAATACTCACTGGCTTTTGCTTATCTTTATTCTGTAACCTTCAAGCATCTCCCTTGATTTACTTGAGCACTTTGTCACACTATCAACCAGGCTCAAGCATATACTTTGTCGAGACTTCTCCTCTGTTGTCATCGGCCAAATCTTTGACAGCCACCTGCCGCTTGTCAGCTACCTATCCAGCCCGTCATTGACAACGACGCTGGCAGATTCCTCGGCCGCCCGCGACCGTCTGATCTCCTCTCCTCTCTCACCAGCCCTGTAGTGTGCTGCACAACCTTTCCTGCACAAGGCCACGACAACTAGCAATCTTTGCTTCTCATCTGACTGGCTACCGTTGTCAGTTGCATTGCACATCCATCCCGTGTGCGACTACATTTGCGCCGAAGCAACGTTGTGCCACCTGAGGGGATCATCTCATCCGTGACCTTGAAAGGCCCATAAATCGGCCACTCGACGGAAGGCATCTATCTACTTCCTCTCCCCTCCCCAGAGTCTTGTGCTGCACACTGCCGTCTCTCCTAATCTCTTCCTCTGTTCAAGAGCCTCGCACAAGAACCAACAGCGAGGATTTCGTGAGACGACTCTCGACCTTTTTGACCGTGACGGCGGGATCTCATGTTATACAAAACTCGGCTATTCAAAGACATTCTGCTGGCCTAGACGTCCAGCACCTCGTTTCCTTTTCCGTCCTGGGCAGCCGAGAAGATAGCGGTAACCCACTCTCGGAACGTGTACTTGTCCCATAACTACCCTTATTAGAGGAGCAGTTTGGGAAGACGATACAGATACTATTCAGAACAGCTTTTGGCCTGTACTAGTCGTGCTGGCACCGGATATCTTGCATTCAAATTTGCAACTGAAAGCCCGTGATCGACCACGGTAAACTCATCTCGTCTCACAAAACATATACTCAAATCCAAATAACCGATATACCTACAAGATGGACGAGCACTTTGGATCAATGGAACACACTTTCATGACCATTCATAGTGAGTGCATTTCTTTACCCTTGGTGGCATCTCAATACCTTGATTTAAAACATACACTTGCTAACCCGTTGAACCCTCTCTCAGACCTGTCGCCAGATGCAAACATCCTCTTTGTCTCTGCCTCCGTCACCGAGATTCTCGGATATGAACCGCACGAGGTCCAGGGCAGGTCATGCTTCGACTATTTTCACCCAGACGAGGAACCGTGGGCCAGAAGGGTCCATGGAAGAGGCGTGAAGCTTGACAAGGCTGCATCTCTTCATTATCTTCGAGTTCAGCATCGCAACGGCCAGTGGATCAGTTGCGAATGCTGTTTCACTGTGGTCCACGACGTATTGGTGGCATGCACCAGTATCTACCGGAGAGGCGCCAAGAGCGAGAGTATGTTGCATGTCTGACCTTTTTCCTTCATGGACACTTTTCACTTACCGCAATGACAGGGCGGGCCATTGAGGCACCACAGATTCGACGCATCTTCTCGAGCTCCCCAAGGGACCCTCGTTACCACATGCTCGAACATCTCTCACCCAAGTTTAAGATGCCTCCTGTAGAGCGAGAGCCCAGGGCCGCTCTCATTCTGAATCGATTCACCAGACCTCTATCAATCATGTTTGCAACCGATGCGATCACACAGATCCTTGGGCTTAGGCCCGACCAGCTTCAGCACAAGAGCTTCTACGAATGCATAGCAAATAATTGTTTGCCTGACGCCGTGAGGTGTCTTGAAAGCGCCAAGTCGAACGACTCAATAGCATACCTACGGTTCTGGTTCCGTGATCCTCGAACAGAGGAAGATTTTGAGGCACAGGACGACCAAGAAATGGACGGCGTTGACGGTGGCGGTAGCCCAAGCAGTAGCGACTTGGACTCGGATGGTGGTGCACAACTCAGCTCACCAATGGACCTGGATGACGATACAGTCATCAAAGCTGAGCCGACAAGTCCCGAGCCCTTTCGAGCCGAAGCCGAGCAGTCCAATAATCACAGCCGCCAGAACAACCACGCACAGCCTTCTGCACCTGCAGCAGGATCCCCCAATGCGGCCAGACGACCTAGACAGCAGTCGCCGGCGGCTGCTGCCCCTCCTGGGGCTCAAAACGGCAACAGGCGACAGCGCGAGAGGATTGAGCCATTCGAGTTGGAGGCAGTTGTCTCGTGTACATCTGATGGCCTAGTTGTGATCTTGCGCAAGGCGCGACCTCCTATCCCCAACATCTACTCACCATCGGCATCGGCCGGCTCCCAGAATGGTCTGTTTGCAGCACCATGGGGAGAACAACCAATCCAGCCGTACTATCCTCCAGAGATGTACCATCACTTCAGGCCACCTCTACTGCCACAGCACATGCCATTGCAAGAGCATGTCAAAGCTGCTGGTGGTCCGCCGACAGAGTACCTTATGCGGTCCATTCGTGACGTGGCTGTCTTTGCATGGGCTCTGTGTGGTATCAATGGCAATCTGGCCGGCTACTGCAGCGGGACACCTCAAGGGGAAGCTCAGCCTCCAAATGGGCTTCCGGTATGGGACCCTAATGGAGGGCGAACATCCTACCTGGGGCCTGAAAACCAGGCGAGGTACCGGTGGCAGCAATACGACAGTAAAGGAAAAGGATTGGCGGCATCGGGCCACCATGTGTCGAGCTCTACTTCTTCCGTTCCCCAATTCAATCCATATGCAATAATGCATCATGGGACGGTCGAGTACACCCAGCATTATTCGGCACCACCTTGGAGGCAAGAGGATGGTTATATACATGGTAGACACCCACACGCAATGCCTACACAACCCGGCTATACATATCAGCCCTTGCCGAGGCACCCTGGTCACCCCGTCATGGAGCCATGGGCGGAGGCGGCGGCAGCAAATCTCGCACAGCAGCCTCGTGGTGATCCGCCGATGCCGACCACTCAGCCTCCAAATTCAGGCGAGGAACCTCCCAATTATCGCCATTTATGGCAGTAACCCATAACGATGAACGGGGGCAGAAAAGAGTCTTGGGATGATGCGTTTCGAGGACAGGTCTATGGTGATGATTTCCTCTCGCACATTTTTGGACCATTTGAGGCTTTTTCATAATTGGCTTGTATATTAATTTCGTACATGTTCGGATGGGAATGATTTGAACTAATTGGGCGGTAATCTGCTTCTGAAAATTTACGCAACCGGGAACGGCAGTCGAGCTTACCTCTGGCGTTGAGCGTTCATGATACCCAATCACTTGGTTATTTCGACTCGAGAGGGGTGGCTTGTCCGCCGCTGAATAAAGAAATAAATTGATTAGGATGCGCCCTGTTATAAGTGTTTCCTTGATCAAATGAACAGATAATCTTGGTTGAAAACATCCATGTTCAATAATCATCCCGGCAAGATTTTGTGTGTGCACTGGATTCCATTATGCGAAATTGTAAGTAGCAGGATCGCCGCTGGAAGCGAACATGACCTATAATAAGATAAATACTGAGCATCTTCTTTATTTACGATGCGCCATTACAGTATATTTTGCCGTCTCTTCTCCTATGTAAGCTCTTAGGTGAGCAGGTACTTGGGTACCTGGCTTTACCTGGGGTATCGAGATACGTACATAAACACATACGTAATCGGGCCCAAGGCGGGCGCTAAGCCACATGTGGAGCTTTGACCCACTCTAGGTCGACTTACCTTCAATTGAGGAAACCGTGGAAAGTTGTAGGGAAGCTTGGCTGGTACGACGGTTGAAACTGTGTTGTTGTAGTATCAATTATAGCTGCCTGTTGAAGCTCCCAACCAACTGTCAACACCGTTGAGAACCCCCGTGCCGACGATATTTACCATTCTTTCTCTGTAGAAGAGATTTGGGTTGCCAGCGAGAACTTTCAAGGAGCACTTCCTACCCTCCTACGCCCGTCCCATAACGCAATGGCGGCCTCTTCAAGCCATCCGTATCATTCCCCGGAGATCGAGGACGATCTCATTGATCCAGATGATGGTGAGTTTTCCCTCTACCCATCGTGAGCTGTAGCAGCCGTCTCCCGACTGCTCAGGAAGTAAAGATCCTAAAATTAACTCCTCCTGTCTCTTCTCTCCTCAGCTGATCTCAATGACTTCGATGACCCTCTTTCACAACGCCAGCCACTCGCGGGCAACATTGGCTCGTCGTCGTCGTCGAACCGCCTAGACGAGTCGTACCTAACATCGCGCATCCCGGGCGAGGACCGCCGGGCCCCACAGAACACCATTGACGAGACCGTCTGGGAGACGCTGCGGCGGGACCTGCTGGCCGTGTGGTCCAAGATGCGCGAGGTGCTGTACCCGCGCTACCTGTTTGGCGGCACCATGTTTGAGTCGTCGGAGGGCATCCGGGGCGCCTACGCCAACCTGCGCGGCGCGGGCTTCAACGGCGCCCGCGAGGAGCTCCAGAGTCTCGCCGGCCGCTTTGTCGACTCCGAGGCCCTGCTCAACCAGAACAACATGACCCCCGGCCTGCGCGACTGGGACATGTGGGGCCCCCTGATCTTCTGCCTCTTGCTCAGCATGCTGCTCAGCTACCGCGCCCAGAGCGATCAAAAGGATATTGTCTTCTCCGGTGTCTTTGCCATGGTGTGGATCGGCGAGGCGGTCGTGACGTTGCAGATCAAGTTGTTGGGCGGCAATATGTAAGTTTGATGCACCACGGGCTTTCCTGCCTGGACGTGAAAGCGGGATATCAAAGCTTCCTCCCTGGAACGAAGAAACAAATTGCTGACCATGAACCACAGCTCCTTTGCACAGAGCGTATGCATAATCGGCTACACGCTCTTTCCTCTGGTCCTCGCCGCCATGTTCTCTGCCATTGGTCTTCCCTTGATTGCTCGGATACCCGTTTACCTTGCGCTAGTTGCCTGGTCGCTGGCGGCAGGCGTCAGCATCCTCGGTGGTAGCGGCGTCGTTCAGAACCGTGTCGGCATTGCCGTCTACCCCCTATTTGTTTTCTACCTGGGCCTGGGCGCTCTCTGCTTCATCAGCTAAGCGCTGTCTTGCCCGGGTCAAGGAGTTTAGAAGGTGCCAAAGGGAAATGGAAGCTCGGCGAGCTATCCGCATGAACGGCGTAGAAAGGGGAATTCTTTCTTATTTTTATTGACCAGTGTATTCTAGATATTCGAGTGTACGAACAATGAGTCGCTTTGAAATTGTCTTTCGGCCTTGGCATTATGCTTTTCGAAACCACATGGATTGACTTGAGCTGCGGTCGACCAACAGTCGATGAGATAGCTGGTCAAGTTTGGGGACATGAATAGTGGCCGAGAATGTACGGACTCGAGCAAGCGGCAAATGACTCGAGCGAAGTACTTTGACACGGCTTACAGTAAACAGTAGGTTCTCGTAAGGTGCCGTTCAAACGATTCTCACGTTGTAAGGAGTCCCCCATTGTTCGTAACATTGCGGTATTGTCCAGATCTCGAGTTGAAATCTTCAACCAGACGCATATTGCCGGCACAGAAGAACGGGATTTATTTAATTCAAGACGCTCCTGACAGTATCACTGCCCATCATCCTCGTATCGTGAGCAGGTCTGGATCAACAAGCGAGACCCAAGTGAAGCGAGAGAATGTGGTTCAATAGCCACAGCTGATGGCATCCAATTTTTGGCCTTGAATATCTTTTGTCAACTATGTCTAACTTTCTCACCTATCTCGCAATGTGACCCATTAGACGCTACCGCTACCAACAGAACCGTTGATCGCACCCTTCTTCGACTTGTCAACGTCATCATCAACCATAGGAAGTGCTGGTATCTCCACTCCCATGACCTTGTATTCGAGTCCAACGTATGCGTCACTCAACACAAGAACATCGTACTTTCTGGCCTTGCCTCCCTGGGCTGGCTCGGGAAGCTTGAGGTTGACCTTTGCAGTTGGCCTCGACCCAACAGCCACCGACTTGCCAGGCCCTTGACTCCAACCTGCCCGTTTTACCGCGATGATCTCATCATTCGCAACGTCGCAGACTACAACAAACCAACCTTCGGTCTGAGGCTTGGGGTACTTGGGCGCATAGATGCGCCCCTCACGCTCAACAATGGGGTTCGAGCGTTTGAGGGACACCGTCATGGAAAGTGCAGTCACATTCTCTGTGCGCACATTGACGTCTGGCAGAACGGTCGCAGCACGAATGAATTTGCCGTATTGGTACTGTGGGATCCCAAGTTTCTTCGCTAGTTCATCGAGTTGTGGCTTCTTGAGCTTGCTTACTTTCTGCAATGATGTGGTGTCTTTGGTCTCGTCAGGGCCAACACCTGGAAGAATTGACAGAGCGTTATCATGAGGCCATCGTGCAGATTTGATGCACTGCAGCAGCTTGATCATCTCGAGGCAGCTAGAAAGATAGCCCAGCTCAGTAAGAACATCGATCGACGCCTGAATGATACGAATCGCCTGGTCGAGCACACTGGTTTGATCACCGACATAATCGGTAATGGGCAGATCGATGCGTGCCATGTGTGCTTGTAGAAGGAGGAAAGCCTTGACATGAGGATCCCACATAGGTAGTCCGAAATTGGCGCCAGAATATGGCAGGTTGCGCGACAATTCGGCATTGATCAAATCTTCATTGTGGCGCACTGGGAGCTCATCGTATTCTGTTGCATTCGACATCCATTTCAGAACATCCTCAAAGGATGCCTTGGGTTTGACATGCTTGACAAGGTATCGAATCGTCTTGTGTGACAGGTAGTAATAACTCATGATCTTGCCCAGAGGAGTGGGATCAACATCTCCATTGGGGTAAATCTCAACACACTTGGACTGTGCAAGTTCTCCTAGAGATTTGTTGACCATTTCAATCATGTAGTCGTTCGCAAGTTGTTGGGCCGCAATGCTGTTGTGTTCCTCGGCAGATATCTCCAGCCCATAATAGGACGGGTTCTTGTGAAGGCGACGGAAGAAGAATGTCCATGTCAGATAGTCGAGAGCGTCCTGCTTTGTTAGAATAGTCTCTGCTGAGACCTCGGCACACAAATGGTTATCAAGGACCGTGTGCAAGGATGACTCTACTGGGAAGCCTGTATGCAAGAAATGCTTGTAAAAGTCTTTCTTTGCGTCTTGAGTAAAGATTCTGGCAACTCCCGAATTGTCGAATTGAGGTCGGCCAGCACGGCCAAGCATTTGCAGAACATCGGTGAGATCCATATCCTTGTAGCCTTCAATTTTGGCATCGTAAAATTGCGTACCCTTGACAACGACAAGATGTGCAGGGAGGTTGACACCCCAAGCCAAAGTACTGGTTGCGACAAGAATTTGAATCTTGTTGTTCAGGAATAGCTCTTCCGCCAACTGTCGATCGGTTTCAACGAGACCGGCATGGTGAAGGCCAATGCCAAAGCTAATGGCTTCCTTCAAAGCCTCGTCCTTGACCCTAGCAAGATTGAGCTGAAGGTCTTCTTCTTCCATGTGCAAGAACCGACGGGGGTTGTCCTCCAATCCGCACATGTTGATCAAATCCTTAGCCGTCAAGCGAGTCTGCCGACGTGAAGGCACAAACACAATGACTGGCTTTTCTGGACTATGCGTCTTCACTGCGAGAAAGGTTGGGCGGTTCATCGACTGCATCAGTGGGCAGAAACCCCGGACCTCGGGAAACCCATCAATATATAGCTCCAGCGGTACAGGACGAACCGAATGTCTGAAGTTAAACAGACCTTCCTTGACACCAAGCCAGTTGGCAAGATCTGTTGCATTTGCACAAGCAGTCGACATGCCCAGCAGGCGCACTGTGTTCTTTGTAGACTCAGCAATGTAGTTCATACGTGATACGATAATCTCCAAAATTGGACCACGGTCACCAGCCAGCAAATGAATCTCGTCGATAATGACCAGAGACACTTGACGGACGTAGCCTCTTGTTTGCCAACTACGAGAGATACCGTCCCACTTCTCGGGAGTTGTGACAATGATGTCGGCGTCCTTGATGGTTCTGGTATCGGGCGTGTTGTCACCAGTCAACTCAACCAACTTGAGTCCCAAGGGTTTAGCAAGCCGGTTGCCCCAGTCGTTCACTCGCTCACGGACGAGAGCCTTCATGGGGGCAATGTAAACAACTTTTGATCCTGGTTTCTCACGGAATGCCCACCACATGGCAAGCTCGGCAGCAGTCGTCTTTCCACTGCCTGTTGGGGAACCAAGGAGAACATTTGCTGGCGTATGGTAGAGCGTATGGAAGATTTGCGTCTGCATTGGATTGAAGAACTGGAAACGTTTGGCATAGAGCTCTTCGAGTGCAGGATTCTTCAAAGCACCAACCGGGAGTGGTTGGAGGTTGAGTAAATCCGTGTAAACGCTCTCCGTGTCTGGCCGAATTAGGTGTTGAAAGGAGACTGGCGTCACAGTCTCAGCACCCAGCCACTTATCAGACACCGCTCTCACGTAAATCTGGTTCGGTAGAGGATCTGAGAGAGGAATGGTAAAGTTGAGTTCATGGTCATCGTAGAGCTTTCTTCTACTGAGAATGAAGAACTCGTGATGGTAGATTTCGGAAGTTTCAGAGTTCTCAACCCAGATGTAGAAAGACTCCGTGGTGCCGTGGATGTGATCATTCCATTTAAATTCAGGTGTGAGATACAACTTGATCCGCAGGACATCGCGGTTCAGAGGGGCAATTTCGGCATCAACCGTCAGAGTTGGAAAGTTGTTGAGGATGTTGGCAATCTTCTTGCCGGCACTGACGTTATGTACGAGCCCTCCAATCTCGGCGGGCTCCATCTCTTTCATGGCCTCGATAGTGAGGTTGTCTTTTGCGTCGAGCTGACTGAGCACCGACTTTGGCAAATCAAATTGATGGAGAGGATGTTGGAATGGCCACAAGCGCCTCTCAATTGACTTTGCCAAGGTGAGCAGGACGAGACACTGGTAGCCCCAGCGCCGGTTAAGCGCAATCATGAACAAAGCCCGACAGATACGGCCGGATTGCTGAGCAACATAATTCAAGTCGTTACCCAAAGCAAAGTCTTCTGGTTGAGCCCGTGAGATGTACGACTGGAGCAAGATATTGGTCTTTGCTTGTGGGGTATCGATGCCACCAGGGACTTCACAAGGGATCATTTCATGTCTCAAATGAGTAAGTTCCTTTGCCTCGCTATCCCTCGACTGAATGTTATCGAACTCTCCGCTGTTGCTGATCATGGATAGAATATCAGCCTCCGAAGCTTGCGGCTTCATCAAAGTGTTGAAAATTTCCACACTTGTCTGCTGAATGTAGTATTGGCTCGCAATACGACCAACATCCTTGCTACGGAGTTCTTCGGTAACTTCGTTGAAAATGATCATCTGGCTCTTCTGCAGCGTGCGTGCCGCCTGTATGGCGAGTTGCCTTCGTCGTTGCACCAAGTTTGGATCGTCCCGGATCTCTGCCCATTCGATACCATATGTCATGGGGCTTCGCTGCATGCGCACAAACAGATATGAGTATCCGATCCATTGTACAGCCTCGGGAATTGATGTGACCGTGCCAAGAGCGATTTCAGCGTTCAGGTTGTCAACTAGTTTGGAAGAAAATTTTGACTCAATGGGTTGCTGTTCTGTGACAGCGGTGAGATAATGAGACAACTTGTCGTGCGTGGTGCAGATCATGCCAATACCAACATCCTCAAACTGAGGACGACCGGCACGACCAAAAATTTGAAGGACATCAAGAATACCGAGATCCACAAATTTACCGTCCTGAGCGCTGTAGACCTGAGTACCTTTGATGACAACTGCTGCAGCAGGCAAGTTTACACCCCAGGCAAGGGTCGCTGTACAGCAGAGAACTTTGATCACGCCCTCTGCAAAGAGCCTCTCCATCAGATTTCTGTCAGATCGGGTCATACCAGCATGATGAATACCAAGGCCTTTCGGCAAGAGATCTCTTAATTCCCTGGCTTTGCAAGACTTCATGTCCCTCTGAGCTTGTTCGTATGCTGGGTGGCCCTGGGGATCAAAGAGATCGACGCAGAATTCATCGACGGCTTTCTGATGGAGCATCTTGGCGGTCAGGAGAGTATCACGCCGCGAATGAACAAACACCATGACCTGGTGGTCTTGCTGAAGCATGTCCCGAACTTTCTCAAAGGCGATCTGATCCAGATTGTCTCGAGATTGTTTGGAGTTTGGTTTTCCCTTTACTCCAATGAAGTGTTGTTCTAGAGGCACTGGACGGAAAGATCCATCAAAGTAGAACAAGCCCTGTTGCCGATTGACTTTGAGGAAATCGGAGACATCAATGAAGTTGGGAAGAGTAGCACTCAGACCAACGATCCGGATCAGTGATTGTGTACTCTCGACTTGTCTCTCGGTTCTGGCTACCAGGGACTCTAACACAGCACCACGCTCATCGTGCAGCATGTGAACCTCATCAATGATCAATAAACGGACCTTTTGCACTAGTTCGGTATCGCCGGTGCCTTTCCGAGTAATGACATCCCATTTCTCGGGGGTAGTGACGATGATCTGTGTCTGGACGATCTCACTCTTGGTCAAATGCATATCACCCGTGTACTCACGAGCACGGATGCCAGCCCAAGCCAGACGTTTTCCTAGCTTCTCAGTGATTTCGGCAGCTAGGGCTTTCATGGGTGCAACGTAGACAATTTTGAAGTCGTCCAAATCCACAGCAAAATCCGTCGCCTCGTTGTCCTCGATAGGATTGGGTGTGCAATAATGTCCAATGGTTTGTAAGATGGTCAACATGGCTGCATCAGTTTTACCAGCACCAGTGGGTGCACAGATGAGCATGTTTTCGCTCGTCTTGTAGGCGATTGGATACACAAGACTCTGCATGCGATTGAGTGTCTTGTAACCCTTGAAGGTCCTTCGGCAGAGCCCGTCCATCTCGGGGATGGGGAGCAGCCTCCTCCCGGGGGCGAGTACGCCAGTCTTGCCAGCCGGCACCATGATCTCTTCGTACTTGTCGAACAACTTTCTTTCGCTGCCCGCTGGCAGCGCGTATCTCTTCCCAGAGTAGCTGAGCGAGTTGCCCGCGGCGTGGGCCCTGTAGACGTGGGGATATTGCACCTCCTTGTGCATGGCTGGGCCAAGAGCCGCATTCTTGTGTTCCCAATCTTTCTGGCGCAGTGCCTCCTCCCTCTCAGCCTTGGTGAGTAAACGGTTTCCAGACGGATGACCCTCTGCCTGGGAAACAAAGTCGGAAATGATCTGGTCCTTGTGAGATATAACCTCAATGACGAAGTCAAGGTCGTCAAACCCAACCAAGTCAGTAAGCACTGATTGCACCTGTTCCTCGGATTGATTCGACGTCAAGATTTCAAGGATCTGTGCCTGAAAGGCATCGGGAGACAGGCCATCCTTCTTGGAAGCAACAGTAGCACACTGTTTGGCGAACCAACTTGTGCCAAGACCGCTGTCGCCCTCCAACTGGCCATTGGTCTCGTCAACAAAATCGCTGCTCCAAAGATCCTCCTCATCGTCCTCAATAAAGTCCCAGACATCGTCGCCGCTGTTGCCGGAGGTGAAGGCATCGTCCAGATCAAAGTCGGATTCCTCTTCCTGGGCAATGCCGTTTACAGGTAGCTTTAGCTCAGCCAATGCTGCTTTCATGGCAGCAAACTGCTCTCGCCACCGCGCCTCTGCATCATTGGCCGCCATGATCGGATGACACCTAGAAGCCGTCCGAGTGTCTTGTGCCTTCGGGTTCGGGCTTTTCCCAAGTGACCGAGATAATCTTTGCTTGTCGTAAATTCTGCTTGAAATGCCCCTCGATGCAACAGCATTCGAAATCTTCTTATTGAACTTGAGTTCCTATCAAGGCGCCCAAGCCAGGCGAAATGATTTTATAGTGGTGTCTGCAGATTCCACTTCTTCTAGATGACGAACAATGAATAAATTGATGCTGACTCAACCGGCGAGCTCAACTTGGTAGTTTCCGTATGTACAAAGTCGCCTAGCGCAATACCTTGTGCGTAGTGGTGACTCTTGCTGATCTCTTAGCGGCTATCAGGTCCCCAGCAAACTCGCTGTGGTCCATTTTCCAGTGCCAGGCACACCGCTATCGATCCAAGTTCTAAGCTGCAACAGCAGCACCTTGTAAATTCTGGGCCCAAGGCCTTTTGGGAGAGAACCCGACCCCGCGCACGAGGCGGTAAGCATCAAACAAGCCTGCAGGTGCTAAGCTTATAGGCACCTTTAATTGTACTGGTAGACAAGGGGGGGGGACTTCAAAGCCGGCCCCAGGCAGGTGACTTCATACTACTCTCATTATCTGTGTACTGCCAGTTATGCCAATCAATCAAGTTCGGTTCATTCACAGACACACACCCCCCCTACCAGTCCGACGTCCCAACCTTCCCCTCCATAATTCACAACTCGAACTCGTCTCTGTTTCATGAACCTCGTCCCCACGATTCATTCATGCACTACTATTTCTAAACATCTGCGAACTCCTACCTAAGAAACGAAACGCCGTTCCTCTCTCCTCCATCTTCCTATACTTAGAAACAACCACCCGTCGCAAACCCGACAGACAGACACAGACGGACGAACGACAGGACGGGTAGGCCCGGATCTCAACGAAACCAGAAACACAAGACCGCAACCCTTTCATCGGCGCACAAGATCATCCTTGCCCACCATGAAGCTGCACTATATCGGAGTATGTAGGTGCCGCTATCTTTAGCATGCTCGAGGCAAGGGGTTAGCTGACCGTTGACGTTTCTTTGTCGCCCAACAGATCATCAAGAACGATGTTAAACCCGGCATTGAGCTGGTGTCGGAGAAGGAGCTCAGCGCATACTCGCGATTCACACGCCAGAAGTACGATACCCTATCTACCCACCCATATTCTCGCACCCTCCCTCCACTCTTCCCTTCTCCGGCTTGGCTCCGTCCCGTGCTGATGAAGGGGAAACGGGAACATGTCGTTCAGCAAGGACTAGAAACACATGGGTCGCAGGAAGCGAGAAACAAGAATCAAACATTGTCAAGGAAGTGTCTAATCCATTTGTGTACAGCTATGGCGAATTCATGACCATGTTCTCCAAGACGGTCGCGGAGCGGACGCGCCCAGGCCAGCGACAGGACGTTGAGGAGCAGGACTATACGTTCCATGCGTACGCGCGATCCGAGGGTGTGTGCGGCATCATCATCAGCGACCACGAGTATGCGCCGCTGGCGGCACATCAGTTGCTGTCCAAGGTGCTCGACGACTTTTTGGCGTCGCACCCCAAGTCGGCCTGGGCCAACGGCCAGCTCCAGACCATGCCCGAACTCAAGGAGTACATTGCAAAGTACCAGGACCCGACCCAGGCCGACGGCATCATGAAGATCCAGCGCGAGCTCGACGAGACCAAGATTGTCCTCCACAAGACGATTGAGAGCGTGCTGCAGCGCGGCGAGAAGATTGACGACCTGGTGGCCAAGAGTGACGGCCTGAGCGCACAGTCCAAGATGTTCTATCGTGAGTTCCCAAATTACTTGTCTGATTGCTGGTCGATCTGCGGAACATGTGATGCTAATACGGTTTTAAAATAGAACAAGCAAAGAAGCAGAACTCGTGCTGTTTGATCATGTAGATGCCCACACGGGGCATCATGTCTCGGTTTACAATTTGGTTGGTTGGGCGTTTATTGTCATTTCAGAGCCCTGGGGTGTGTTTCGGCATAGCATGCAGTGCACAGACGCAGATGCGAGGTTTGGCTGAATATACATAGTGATGTACAAGCACAGTCAGCTCGATCTTTTTTAGATTCTCATCTGATCAGGATGAACATAGTCATTCGCTGGTGTCATCAGATGATGTATGTACGGTAGCCATGATCAATTAACATACAGTTCTGGAAAAAAGAATCTGGGGAAAGCCCATTTTATGATTCGCGCAAGTGAAGTATTGAACGATTTCTCATTACGATCATTCAAGTTTGATCATGGTTGGCCCACGGGTATAAATACTAAAGATTTTGTGTATTTCGTTATATGTGAAAGTCCCATATAGCCCATCCTAAGGGCCAAACATGGTGATACCCTTTCGATTGAATCAAAGGAACAAGGCTGTTCCTTAGCTCTGCTTCTTCTTCAAGTCTCAGACTCTACATCATCACAACATGGTATATCCAACCTAGTAAAAGCCATATCCTCGTAGATAACCAGATCGCTTGCTTTTTTCCTCTCCTTCCCAAGTCTTTTTCTATATTAGTCCGTCCATGATTTCCCTAACCCAATGAGAGAATGCCCCTGGCTATCATTGCGAAAAGCTCCCCATGTCCCGATGCCTGGGGAAATGTCAAGACACTAGGTCGACGTGGTGGAGCAGAATAAACCAAAATTTAATGCCAGAAAAAAAGAATTAAGGAAATAATGTGTAAGGGAGTGTCTGATTTGATCAGCCTTCAATAATGATACGCTCGCTCTTGCGGTGTTGCGCAAGGTCGGCGTCGAGGGTCTGTCTGGGAACCACGAGGGTGGGCGTAGCCGACCGCGTCTCGGCCAGCCTCTCGTTCTCAGCCATGCCGATCCTCGGTACTACCGGACTGGCCCGGGCAGGACTCGCCTTTGCTCTCAATGTGAAGCTCGTCTCTAGCGGCTTGAGAAGCTTGCGCTGCTCCCTGGATATGGAGATTTGTCGGGCAATGGAGATCTGCACGGGGTCGTGGCTATAGTCGATATTGTCTGGCTCGTCCAGATCGGATGAGGGCGGGGGGGTCATGTGCGTCTGCGCCGACGAGGCCGAGGATGGAGTTGTCTTTCGAGCACTGGTGGCAGATGAAGAGCCGCTGGACAGAGTGTATGTGGATGGCTCGAGGATCTGCCAGTCGGGTTCCTGGATCTTGTGCTTGCTTGTGCTGGTGCGAATGATTTCGGGTGCAATTGTTGGAGAGTCGATATCCGACGGGGATTCAAGGACGAGTCCAGACTCGTTCGGGCCAAAGTGAAAACTTGGGGCTGGCAGGGCCGATGATTTGACATCATGAGATATCGCCGCTCTTCCCACGTGGTGCTGTGCAGGGTGACCACTCTGCGCATGGGCTTCGAGCGATTGGTCGAATGTCGCCTTTGACGGGGATGGAAGCAATGCTGGTGAAGTATTGGACCGCACAGTTTTCCATGGTCTGGTTGCCTGCTGTGGTGTCCGCCTACCCGTTGGCGCAGCGGGAAACAAAAAGAACTGCGGCGACTTGGACGGTTGTGGTGAAGTTGCCCGCCTAGGCCTTGGTAACTTTTCATCCTGCCTTGGGTTAGATATGTACGAACACGACTTGGAGTTTGGATGAATATGACCAACCTCTTCCGCAATGATCGCGTCACTGATTTTCTTTAGTTCCTTACTCGTTGCTTGACGTCTCGCGAGCAGCGACGATGTATTATTAGGTTGCGTTCCCAGAACGCCTTGAAACATAACGCTATATCTCTCCATATTACTCTTTGGAATCTCAATGTTGAGAAAGCTTGGTGCTGGGGTTGACTCCTGGGTTGGTGAATCCAAGACTATTGGTATACTTCCAAAGTTGGCCGTGCTTCTTTGTGTATCTATACTTGGGCCATGGGCTCTCAGACCAGTCGGCGCCAATGTCGAAGACTGCTCGTGTGCGTCTGGCAGGGTTTGAGAACGCTTGACCGTAGATTTTTGTGTAAGTGCCTTGTGATCATGAGCAGTCTTGCTTCGTGAATGTTTCGGCCGTACTTCATTTGGCGAGTGCGAGCCAACCTGCTGATCCGGGCGATATGCCCGACCCAATTGATTCGGCTCCGAGATGGACACTGGTGATGGCTCTGCTTCCGATCGTTTTCTTCCAAAGAGTCCAAATAACCTCCGTTTCCCAGGCTGCTTCTTCTCCTTTGGCATGTCGAAAGAGTCAACACTTTCAACAGAGGAAAGAGGCGACGTTGCTGGCTGCATTTGATGCGGCCGTAATGTCCCGCCATTCGACATCTCGGGTGGATGGGTTGGGCTGCCTAGAGCCATGCCGATGGGCGCAGACTGATCTGACATGGTCGCCGGTGTTGTCAGCCGTACTATAGGGACTGCAGGCTGTGATGGTGTTCTTTGACGAGGTAGATGTCCGTGTGAAGCCGAAAACTGGTGCTTGTATGCCTTGGTACGCGGGCTTGTCAGGTTTGAACTTGGTAGATGACCGTGAGAAGCAGCATACTGTTGCTTGCCGTACACCTTTGAGTTTGAGCTCGACGATTTCGTATTCACGTAGAAATCGTCCCTTGATACCCTTTTGTTGTTGTTGTTGTATTTGCTGTTGAACTTGCTCACGCCACTAGCTGACTGGGTTTTCGAGGATGGTCCTCCAGAAGTCGATGGTCTCTCCAACAGCATCTTTTCTCCCAATGGTGGAGCAGGAAGAGGACGATCGAGGTACGACCTATCAGTGGCTGCAGGAGATCTAGTATTATAATGCGCTTGTTGTGTGGGTTGGGATCGATCTGATACAGTGGCCTGTCCTCTCCGCACAGGGGACCCGTGAACGTGCGTCACGGACGCATCTGGGTTTCCTGCAGCGTCCCTCCGCGCCTGGGCTCGATCGACCACCTTGAACATATTCCTCCAGGGTCTGTTCAATGTCAAATCCTAGAGGGTGGACCTGCAGTCAAATGATGAAAGGATGCTTGCTTTCGGCACCGAAATTGCTAGGGTCTAGTTTCTAAAAACAAGCAAACTAAAAGGGCTGACAAGAAACGGAGGAGAAGAGGCGAGCCTTTTTGCCCGGTCAGAAAGAGAGAGAGAAAGAGACGCAAGAGACGAAGAAGAAGAAGAAGTCAGGAATCAACTTTGATCCAACACTCTCAAAGAAACACTTGAAAAGAGATCAAGGAGATTGTAAAAGTGCCATAGCTTTCTCATCATTCAGGCGGGAAAGCCCTACTTTACGTATCATCATGGTGACTTTTACCGTACATTCTCGAGGTCGTCACACCTGAAATCTTTCGCCTTCACCTAAGTCCTAGGCAAATGTGAACTGAACCGTTGTAGATAGCTTCGGTGCTGTCTGTTTGAGATTGATGGGTCGGCTATTTACAAGAATGATCAGCACCCGGGATTATGCCCCAGAACGGCGCAGAAGGTCGCAAAGAGCGGCTGACAGGGGCGCTCCGGGGGTGTCTAACTAGCTTCCTCAGGCAGACTAGGGGCTTTAGAGAATGGAGAGGTATATTCAAAGGACGGCGGTTCCTGGAGGAGAGGAGTCCTTGGTGATGTCAACACAATGGAGTTTCAGGATCCCACGCGGCCGGCACGAGCCAGTGAGGTCCTGTCGGATTGCCTTGCCGCCCATTTGACGGATAGCCTCAATTGGGCTGAGGCACTAGCTAAAATTATCTCTGGTCCCGGGGAAATGGGAATGACCACCTTTGCTGTAGAAAGAACCAGTTCGTGACAAGTCCGAGGGTTTCGAGAAGCCCTTGGCGCGCCATGAATGGAGTCGGCCTCGTAGAAAAGCACAACTGATTGCGGTTACGGTTGGCCTTCTTGGCACTAGCCAGCCGACTGGCTGGATCCTGGACAAGTTTGAGATGTAGGACGAGCTAGGCGATGGCGCCGTCTACTCATAATGCGTTGTTCGTCTCCCGTGGCAAGTGTCCAAAATTTGCCAGTTTGTTGCTGTGTTTGTGAGATTCGCTGAGTCTCTTATTCTTCTTTTGTAGTTGACACCTGCTTGCGTCTGGATAAGTTGGGAATGATGATCATAGTCTCGCCTTGAACACTGATCTGCGCACACGACATGTTTGTCCAGGGCACGCAGATCGGTCCATCCTCCCATACTAATCGGATACGATAAGGTGGGTCCAGCGTCGCCCATAGAGTTGTCTATATATCGGAGCCGGCGTGGATGCAACGCTTGGGGGAAATGAGAGGAGCGCCGTTGATGGTGAACCGCAAACATCCAATCACGGCATTGGCGAAGGGGCCCCCAAAGATGCGCTAGACTGTGCTTTCTGCTGACATGTCATTGACTAAAGTGATTCTTGGTTCAACAGTTAGATGGTCAATCTCGTAATGCTGGTCAGTTCGTACATAGTACCGTGGCAGCATGTTCAATTTGTTGTCGAGCACGGTTCCTCCAAAAAAATCATCGACATGGACGAGGAAACGAACGACTCCCTGTCGCATGCCACATGGTACCACCTCTGGCCAATGGGCACCTCACTGTCCTCGTGGGAAAAGAGGAGTGATGCGAGAGGCATGTCCTCCATAGTAGAGCAAGCTGAAAGGGCGTGCTACTTGATTGTCTGGTTTCAAGTCCTGCAGCGTACAGCGTAGGCGCTCAATGTTGCAAACTTCATGTTCCACGATTGTGGTGCGAACTTGAGATTTTCTGATACCGGGTCTCTAGCAATGGGTGGCGGCTTTGGAAGTTCAAACTCAATTCCGTCGACATCCGGGTAAATTGTCCATAGTTGGACAATATCCCGAGAAATGCTTCTGTAAGGGCTTTTGTTGTCAATACGCAATCCCGGGCAATACGTGTTGGCAAAGTCATAGGCAGCCAGAAGGATTGGGGAGGAAGGGTTGGATGGCCCTGGTATGCTGACTCGAGTTTGGGAGATCCTGCATTGCGTTTGCATGAACAGCATGATTCACAAGTCCGGCATGAACTATGATTGATGTTTGAAGTTTGATGCGGCTGGTGCCAACTGTCATGGGAAGCCATAGAAGAACATGTGAGATTCGACGTGCTCCCGATGTCGTGCTATCAGGTAGTGCCTTTGACCTACAGGACGATGTATCTAATTCCAATATGTATCAAGGTCGAACCATTGAGGCCATTACAAATTGCGATGCAATCTCTCCATATTTGTGTCGTATCGTTTCGTATTTTTCTCAAAGTTGTCGATTCTATGCTTGCGCGCCGAGTAGGCCATGGCCATATCAGTGTTCGTTTCCTCGAGCTCAACGCCGGCTCGGTTTCGCTTCAAAGGCGGCACTCGGCTTGGTAAGTGGGCATGAGAAACTCTGTACCTACAAGACCGGAGCCGAACGGATGAGCAAAGTTGGCAATGGTATTCGACGAGAAGTTGAGGTGATGTGAGAAGAGAAAAGGGGATCACTTTTTCATGTGTAGTCTGCAAGTACGGAATAAAAGGGATCAGCATCGACGTGGTACCTACTTATGACCTCAATCATTCATGGGCAATGAATCTGAGCAAAGACATCAATCAGCCCCACCAAGGGACCTCAGCGAACGTGGTAGGCTCTCGTTGCGTCAACGTCAGCCATGGCGGGGTAAATTGCACGCAGCGGCCAGCAGGTGAAGGCGCTTCTTCACCGTCAGATTGGCAAATTTTGAAGCGCTGGCTACACAAGGTAACGTATTTACTCTACAGCCACTCTGAAAGATGGTTTCACTGGCCATGAGTGTCTCAGACACCAGATCATCAGTTCGGGAGACTGAATCGTCGGACCGTCTGCACTGCACTGGCATGCTGGGGAGGAAATATACATCATATATACACGCATTAATATATTACCAAATTTGGTACAGTTTACCATGACACTTGACACCACATAGGTACATGCGGAATGGAACTGAGATCTCACCAGCAGGTATGCGAGATCGTAAGCATAAACGTACATTAGAAAGCATGATGTTGCTTCTCGAACATCATCCAAAGGAGAGAGATAAGTACGTACCCACTTGGGGAATCTCATCTTGCTAGCCGAGCTATTGGGTAAAGATCCAGTCGGCAACTGTTGGAACCTTGGTGATCATAATAGAACATCAATGCTTGCGGCGACCCAGTGCCAGGAGACAGAGAGAGACAGAGGGAAAAAAAAATAGTAGGCGGAATGGAAAGGAGTTGGTAACAGTGATTTCTGTAGTGTATAAGGTAATAAATGGGGGGTGGCCCCTCCCGAGCGGCCCCAGTAATTCTTAGTAGCCCCTCCTAAAGATACCGCTGAAATGCTTCCGCGCAACGAGCATCCCGCCATTTACATCCTTTCCCTTTAACCCAAAAGCTCTCTTGCAGCAACCTCGTGGAAAAAATAAAATAAAAAGCTGATACCACCAAAGAAGCAGAAAAGCTTCCCATCCTTACCTTCCTTCTTTTCTTCTTCTCTCTTTACAGCTTCACTGTAAACTCACACATTTCTCCAAGATGTCTTGGCAAGGTATGAATCTTCCCAAACAAACCCCCCATTCACCCCCGCCATGGGGACAAAAACATGTGGTTACCTCCACCTCAAGTTCGCGAAATACCATGGCTGACTCTGAGGCTGCGCAATAGCATACGTCGACTCCAGGTACGATTCAGCGAACGAACCCCGAGATGGAACGGACATGGTTGAGATACTGGATATTGACTGAGCAACGCAAAACAGCTTGGTTGGCTCCGGCCACCTCGACAAGGGTGCCATCATCAGCGCCGCTGGCGACAGCGTCTGGGCTACCTCGAGCGGCTTCACCGTACGAGCTCCTCTCTTTCTTTCCGTCATCTCCCGGCACAGACGACGCTCTACTGGAATCATCTATGGCTGACAAAGAGTGCTTGTGTGAATAGGTCAAGCCCGAGGAGCAGAAGGAGCTTGCCTCGATCCTGAGCGGTGCCGAGGCTGCCAAGAACAAGGCTTTCGCCGATGGTGTGCACGTTGCCGGTGAGCGATTCGTCGCCTTCAAGGTTGAGGACCGCAGCCTCTACCTCAGACAGGTGCGTTGACTTGAGAAAGAGATCTCACACGCCGGACAGCGTGGAAGACGGCAAGGACTAATATAGAGACTCAATTTAGGGCCGAACTGGTGTCGTTGTCGTCAAGACAAAGCAGGCCATCCTGATCGGCCACTACGGCGAGAACGTGCAGGCTGGAAATGCCACGTCGACCGTCGAGGCGCTGGCAGACTACCTGATCAAGGCCGGCTACTAAGTGTAGGAGGAAAGGGAGGAAATCGGGCGTCTACAGATGTACGAACGCGGCAACAGGGCACGGTCTCGCTGGGGATACCAGCTTGCCAGGATCCATACCAAAGCCGTTGTGATTTGATTCCGAGGACCGCAAAGATAGGAAAGATGCAATTAGAGTCTGGTTTTGAGACACATGGCACATATCACGAGGTGGTCACAATAGTTGGGCTGCTTAGCCAGTCTATCATCTAGCCCCTTGAATTTCAGCATAAGCAAATGAGGAAATCCCCCTTTTCACTGAGCACGAGAGCTACAACTTGCAATCTGTTACCGAATATGTCGGTTCTATTAAGTATAATTTTTGTTTATCCCTTTATGCAGAGAGCTTTAGCTGCAGCTATGTAGCTTGAATATTCTCAGGCCAAGGCTCTATATGGACGCCCTGCGCCGAGTTCAAGCCTGTGGATAATGGAGTTTGTACACACGGATCTATACCACAAAATCAACCCTGAACGCCATTGTTCATCCCACATCTAGTCAGTGATTCGTACACCTTATCGTCCCGACCGTTGCCGACGGCATGCCGTTCTTGAACTTTCAACTTATTCCAAACCGATATAGCCTCGTGATCCCGGATTTTACACGGGCAGCTCGGCATTTCGTCTTCCAAGACCTGATCTATCCACGAGAACACCAATGTAGGGACCGACGACGGGTATGTTCCGCGCGAATCCGGCTATGGTGCCCAAGAAATCCCCGAATAATACCATGATTCCGTAGAGTTCTACGCAGAACCCAATCAGCGGCCAGCGCATGAGGATGAGTAACAAGCCGCCAAAGAAGGCTGCCGTGCCCTTTGCCTTTTGTTTCCGGGCGAAGAAGAGGAGCGTCTTTTGCGGGCCGATGATAATCGTGAGACCAATGAGGAAGAGGATCTATAGGTCGTCCAGAAGTGTTAGAGCTTTCAAATTGTTATTCCTTGCGCGGAGCGCTTGCAAGTGGCTCGGTCGTCTAGGGAGGGAGGTTCGGAGTGCAGAAAGGTGTCCAAGTGTTTCAAGCACTGGTATACAGGAACAGACTCACGTTGCCCATGGCCAGCCTGCAAACAAAGGCGTCAGTATACGAGCATACAGATATATGATTACTGAGAAAGACGGGCAAGAGGTGTAAGAAGAATTGGGTGCACTACTCACATGGCCCGATCGAAGAACAGCATCACGCCTCCAATGAGGAAGAAGCCTCCTGCACATTTGTCGTCAATTACTTGCGCCCCCATACTCGAAAGGCTCATCACCCTCCAGCAAGATTGGTGAAGTGAGAGCTTGGCATAATCACGTACCACCTGAGCAGAAGGCCACTCCAATTTCTGCGATTGTATGTTAGCTGGCGCAAAACCCGGATACCATGACATTTGAGGATCCTCTGTGCGGAAACTCGAGAAGCTTACTCTGCGTGTCCGACAACCACATTGTAGGCATCTTGGGCGATCTGAGAAACCAGTTGACCTGTACAATAGAGTGGCAATTGGTAGAATGTACAGGTTTCCGCAGGGACGTGGCCGGCGCAACTGCGAGTAATTATATATAAAACAGCTGTTGTTCAAAGCTAGATCGTCCAACCTCCTAGGGGATGACAGAAAAAAAGTTGGGGACGTGTTCGAAGACGCCAGGAGTTTTGTATTGAGCTATCGACCGCGTACTTGACTTGTTTCCTAACCTCGACAATAGACGACAAGACAAGTCATGTTCGGCTCGATAGCAAATGTATTATTCATGCCATATCATAGATTTGCACCTCAAACTTATCTGGAAACTTTACCGCTGCTTGTCAATCTGGAAATGGGCTTCCATATTCACGAGATACACATACAAACGTTTCAGTCACTATTACAGGTACTTGAGATACCAGCTACATGCGCTACGAGGCGACCTGGAACAGATTCAACGCCTCGAGCGCTACGTCCATACAGGTACCTAGCTTGGCTGCAGCCGCTTGAGGTGGGATGCGCAGCTGGAAGCAGTCCGACAGCACTGAGCTGAAAAATGAGCCAACCACCTTACGTAAAGCTGGTTCCACCACAGGCCTAACAAAACACGCCATGGATTTTCTGTACGGCTAAAGAAAAAGAGTCGACAAGTTCTTTCCTTCAACACTGAACGCCCATATTCGGAGACCTACCAAAGGCACCATAAAAGCAGCCTCTTTCAGTGTACTTCCGCGAAGTTTTTGCAGCTTCGCGAAAAGACAATCACTCTCTAAAGGTCATGTAATTCCTCAAAGCAAAGCGCATGGTCGACTGAGAAAGAAAGAAAAACAAAAACAAGGTTTGTAACACTGGAGGGAGTGCAAGACCAGAACCAGGTCGACGCTTGATATTGTGATATCGTGACTTCTGAACATTTGTCTATATTCCTGCCGCGGCGACTATAGCTGTATAGCTATGGTAACTGAGTTTGATCTCTCCATTCGTCCTCGGTACCCGTCAGTAACAGGCAGAGAACAAAATTTTCTCTATCACGATTAAGCCGGAGCGTATACCTGTCATCCAGTCGCTGAAAGGCGAATGGTGCGTAGGATAAGCTTGACTTTGTTGGTCGAACATTCTCTACTTCTTTCCTTCACTTTGACTGCTACTCTCCTCGATGCCGTTCTCGATTTCCATCCAGGAATAGGCCCAGGCCGCTTTTTATGCATGATGGTCACGGCGCTCTTCTCCTTTATAGAGGAAGTAGTTGTCTTCATGGAACCCAGTTGAACAGATAGGAATTGCACTCAATCCTAATAAAATAGCATTACCTTGAACGCCCAACGCTGTTGCCGAAAGAAAGAAAAAACATAATCCTCGGGGGTTTGACACGACCTCTCGAGCCCTCTTGTAGTTTTTGATTGCAATGTGGCCCCTTCTTGTTTGTTCGTTCACTTCAATACCGTGTGTGCTCCTCTCGCCTCCAGGTACTGCTCCGTCACGCCCTGGGGAAGACTGCGGATGAAACTAAAGACTTCTCCATTGTGATACCTCAGCCTGCTCTTGGGGTCGAGATACGGTGCCGGCAGACCCGTGACGTCGCAGTAGCGTTTTGTATGGGCCAGCGAGGGCGCGCTCTCAATGTTGGTGTATGTGGCACTGGGCGCCGAGGTTGTCGCGAACCCAAGCCCGGAGCCCGGCTTGAGGCTCTTTTCCAGCACCAGCTTGCTCAGGCTGCGGGAGGCCTGGGCGAGGTTCGGTTGCAGGCTGCTCGAGTTGGATCCAGAACCGCCACCGGTCGTGGACAGGGCCGGCGTCGAGGTGCCCGAGGTTGAGAGGCCGTTCTCGTCGACGGCGGGCGCAGGCGTGGCGGCGCCGCTGTCGCCGTCCTGAGGCGTCGCGATGGAGGAGGCTTCCTTGCGCGAGGCGTCGCCTAGGATGGTCTTGATGTTCTTGTTGCGCCGCTGGTTCGGTCGCCAGTTGGTGTTACGGAAAGACTTGGGGATCGAGTGAATGTCGAGCTTGTCGATGAGCTCCTGATGGGCCAGTTGGGCTTCTGTTGGTGTTGCTGCCATTGTGATGGAATACTTGCTGCTGTGCGCCGGCAATTGTAACCACGAGTTTGCTGATGATGATAAACGACTTCGCGACTGAAATGCGACCTTGGTTGCGAAGGGGGGATTTCCCACGTAGGTTGTCGGGCAGTGTGAAATATGTTGGTTGCGAGGCTGCTGGTCGACACTGGACAGCTTCCAGACTACCTACAAGATATAAAATGATCGGTGCTTTCAAGCTCCGACAAACAAGCTTGTGCCACCACCACCACTACCAATATGCACCTCGAGCTGCCAATTCATGCTTGGGCTTGAACTAAGCAACAACCACCTACACCTTTACCTCGCAACCCCAGAATAAACTGTTGGAAAGACTTCAGAATGGTAAACAATACTTTTCGAGATGGAGAGTTCATGATTGTTGATTGTATCTTTAGGAGAGCCCGCACGAACATCAGCAGAACCTTCTGCTCTCGCGAATCATCACCAATGTTGTAAGGCCGCCTCCCTAGGAAGTAACCCCATGGGTCGTGAGGTTGATCAATTCCCCAGGAAAAGTTGAATGAGTCGGTCATGGTCATGAACAAACAACTACAGGTGCGTTTTTCTTTTGTTCTTCAAATCCAAAGAACGTAATATGGCCCTCGGCTTGTACAATTAACAGTCATTCCCAGGACATCAACATTCAAAACATGAACATTGAGCTTGTTGCTCAAATGTTTAAGAACTATCAGTCTAACGTTCTCTTTCACCTAGAAGGTATGTCTTGTCCTGGAATATAAATAGGTAATAGTTAATATCTGACTGATTGTCATCCAGCTACGGGTGGGCTTAAGGAGCCGTCATCGAGCTGAAGAGGTTGTAGTTTTCTTGCCAGGCGAGAATCATGAGTGGGCTTTGCGACATGCATTTGGTGACTGGTAATATGGTGGATCGCATGTGTACCGGTTCGTAGAGCGTTTACCATCTGCGAAGAGGCTCCAATGAAAATAATATACACATTTCTAAAAACAACACAAAACAAAAGGCACAAAGAGTCAATATATAGGCCAGACACCATCGGAAAGATGAGCCAACGTGCGAGTCGCCTCCGATTGAATCAATCGCTATATTCGAGCAATCCCCGTTGTAATTCATGTACATTACGTTCAACCCACCCTAAACCCGTAATTGATACTTGACCCCTCTAGTCTGACGCGACGCCAACTGCACCCAATAAGAGGTCCAACGCGGTACAAATCAGTCCATTACTGCTGTGCATGCAAGAGCAACAACAGACAGAGGGCAATGGCCATAGCTCCAGCAGTAAAAGATCCCTGCAGCGGCGCATCGCATTCGCGGCGTCAGCCTTGCATGCGCCCAGGGTGAGATAATGTTGTTAATCGTAGCTACGTACTACAGGGTGCTATGTAGGCACAGCCGACGAGAATTCCACGAGCCTTTTGCCGCTTTTACATTCTGCAACATTTTTCTCATCACAAAGTGAACCCCAAACTCCATCCCACCCGCGTCTTTACTTTTAATCCGCCAACCGTCGAAGCTGGAATCCACCTTGCGCCTTGTCGGATCCAGCAGCTGCATCATGCAACGCCTCGCGACACCATTGTGAACCCGACAACACAACCGACGATGGCCCCTTCTGCAATTGACACGCCTACGCAAGTGCTAGGCGAGCTCCCCACACGCCAGGAAAAGGTCTACCCTCCTGCGCGGATATTCCCAGTCAAGGAGCTACGCTTCGAGAAGCATATTTCTCCCCAAACCGATGGCAGAGAGAAGGCGCTGGCGCAACCACAAGGTAGCGCTGCCATAGTCATCGACAATGGTATGGACTTCTCTTGCTTGCTATTCTCAAGCCTTTCCAAAGCGCAACAACACTAACCAGACCTGATTGCTAGGCTCTTCTGCCGTCAGAGCAGGCTGGTCCTTTGAATCAGAACCTCGATTCAACATACCACCCATCATGGCCAAGTACAGAGACCGCAAACTAGGCAAGACATATTCCTTTGCCGGTACTGACTGCTACGCCGATACGACCGCACGCGGACACATCAGAAACGCATTCGAGGCCGGGTCAGGCATCGTCAGCAACTGGGATGTCATGGAACATGTGCTCGACTGGACCTTTCTGAAGCTGGGCCTGAACGACAATGAAGGCTCCATAGACATGCCTATTGTCATGACTGAAGCAGTGGCAAACTTGCCCTATTCCAGGAAATGTTGGTCTCTTCTCGCTTGTCTCGGAGATTCATAGTTGCTAACAACATACTCTCAGCCATGAACGAGATCATATTTGAATGCTATGGCGCGCCTTCTCTAGCCACTGGAATCGACTCTCTCTTCTCTTATCGCTATAACAAGGGCCAGACCGGCTTGGTTGTGTCCTCTTCTTATAGCTCGACACACGTGATACCCGTCTACAACTCCAAAGCAATGCTAGCACAAGCAATAAGGTTGAATTGGGGTGGCTGGCACGCTGCGGAATACCTCTTGAAACTCATACGTCTAAAATACCCTGCTTTTCCGGGGAAACTCAATGCCTCACAAGCTGAAAACATGCTGCGCGACCATTGCTACGTCTCCAAGGACTACGACAACGAAGTACGATCGTATCTCGACTGGACCGGACTCGAGGATAGAGATGCAGTCATTCAATATCCTTTCACCGAAGAAGTTATTGTACAAAAGAGCGAGGAAGAGCTTGCACGCATTGCAGAGCGCAAAAAGGAGAGCGGACGACGACTTCAAGAACAGGCACAGAAAATGCGCCTCGAGCGCCTTATGCGGAAAGAGCAAGAACTCGAGTATTACAAGCAGCTGCAGGACAAGATTGCAAATGCCAATAAGAAAGATACGAAGCGACTCCTTGACGGCGACGAGTTGAAAGACGAGGCCCATCTTGAGCGCATGATAAAGGAACTGGAAAAGTCGGTCAAAAAGGCACGCAACAAGGATCTGGGTATCGATGTAGAAGAGGAGCAGGAAGCTCCTGATTTCAGCCTCTTGGAGGTTCCCGACGAGGAGCTTGACGAGGCTGGATTGAAAGCCAAAAAGCAGCAACGCTTGATGAAGTCCAACCACGAAGCCCGAGCTCGTGCCAAGGCCGAGAAGGAAGCCGAAAAAGCTCGCATCGCCGCCGTAGAACAAGCCGATAAAGACCGCCGCGACAACGATCTTGAAGGTTGGCTAGAGGAGAGGCGGGTGGCTCGTGCCGATGTCTTGCAGCGCATGAAGGAGCGCGACCGCCTCAAGGCTGACCTGGGCAACCGAAAATCGCTCGCGTCGCAGATTCGGATGAAGTCTATTGCAAATCTTGCCTCTGATGGTCCTCGGGCTAAGCGGCGTAGGGGTGGCGATGATGACAACTTTGGTGCCAACGACGATGACTGGGGTGTCTATCGGGATATTGCGGTTGGACAAGATGCTAGCGACGATGAGGAGGGCGAGGAAGATCTCGAGAGCAACCTCAAATCTCTCGAAGATGACCTGCTCCGCTTTGATGTCAACTTCTCGCACGACGACACGTATGAGGCACAAAATGACTGGAGCAGATCGCTTCTGCACGCCTTTACACGGGGGCCCCGTCCTTTCATGGGTTCTCAGGCCGAAATCAATCAGATTCACCTAAACGTCGAACGCATCAGGGTACCAGAAGTCATTTTCCAGCCCTCAATCGCTGGCGTAGACCAGGCGGGCCTCATAGAGATTGCCGGCGACATTCTAAACCAGCGCCTCGTCCACATCCCAACAATCAACCGCGACGATTTCTTACGTGATGTATTCCTCACTGGCGGTAACACACTATTCGAAAACTTTGACTACAGATTGCAGCAAGGCCTAACGGCGCTCCTTCCTGCAGACAGCCCACTCACCCTCCGACGAGCAAAGGACCCTGTACTGGACGCATGGAAGGGAGCTGCGGAATGGGTGGGATCGAGCGGTTACAAGTCAGCCGTGGTCACAAAGGCTGAATGGCAAGAAAAGGGAGCAGACTACTTGAAGGTAAGTGCCGTCTGACTGCATACATGGGACGCGCCGCGTTCTCAACCCCCATGCTCTACACCCCAATCACCAGCCTTGTCACAAAACAAGCATACTTTCCTCTTTTCTTGTCCTTGATCATACAGCCCTGTCAAGTGCTGCTCGTATGTACCTTCGGGCTTGCTTGGATGCGCTCTATCACACAATCTGAGGTGTAGAACGCCGCAAGGATGCCCAGCGTATCACCAGTCGTGTGACGTAAGCTTGACGCCCGTGATCGAGGGGACAAGGATATCTCCAGGCGTGTCATCTCGTGGCTGGCCTGTTGTACTGGTATTCTATTTTACGATTCTCTTGTTGGGTTAAATTGGCACACGGGCTTGTGCTGCTCTTTACGGGGGGGCAAATGTACCCATCGGTTCGGAGATACTTGCCCCTTGATCAACCTCGACCTCTCTATTTCTTTTTTCCTACTTACTTTGCTTCACCGACAGACTTGATCACTAAACTAAACCCTTGGAACCGAGTTCGCAGGAACTGACATTTTCTCTACAGGAGCACGACCTCGGCAATAGTTGGTCTTAGAGACAGCGTCGGAGTGGGGCGGCGGCGATTATGGGGCCCAAGAGGTGTTATGAGAGAGAGGGAGAGAGAGAGAGGCCGTTATACGTGTAATGAGGATTGCTTGCATTTCCCACCCCCTTTTCCTTCCTTCTTTTCTTTTTCTCCTCCTCTGGCACAGGCCGGAGTGTGCCAATTCTGGGAAAAGGTGGGTAGCACCCTAAAAGTAAGCTTAAAGTGAGAAAGAAGCATGAGACAGCCGTACGATCAAAACAGATAGGGGAATCAAGTGTACATGCCGAGATTCTATTCTGGCACGGTCATTGCACAATTTTTGTAAATCCAAAGTCTGACACTCTTACTAAACCACGCAACATTTCCGTACTGGTCTAGGGCTTGAAGCCATTTAGCTAATGGCTTATTGAATGGACAGGTTACTACAATGCATCTGGATTTCCATCGCCCTGCTAGCAATGACTAGGTACTGACATCGCCGCTTCTAGGACCAGGACGAGGACTGACGTCCTTGTAACCATTATATACTCTATACACATTTTTCTTTCTCGTTCGCTCTGGAGGAACATGCCCACATGATTCGAACAATGCCATTCCGACCTAATCCTCTGCATTTCCATACGTTTGCCGTGGTACACGTGTAAGCCTAAAACAGAATGCAAAGCTACATTGAAGCTTATTGAGCCAGCCCTTGGCTCAATGAAAAAAACCATTTACGCCCAGCCAGATGTTAGGCGAAAAGCATTTCCATCCCTATTCGATTCCCCAACGCCAATTCAAAGAAAGGTGACAATTGATGTCTGTCGTCCCTCGCTATGGGAAGTCATCCACAAATAGCGACACCATTATGAACACGAAGGCGATTCTCAACCCGGCGTGCACAGCGCCATGGTCGTCGTAGTAGCTCCGGCTGCTGCTTGAAACGTACTCGAACGCTCAGAAAAATCATCCTCCAGCGTCAAAATACCACCCTTGACCAGCATACTGAAATTATGCTAGGCTCTCAAAGATGAAGAAGGCGGTAAAGTTTCGTGTAGCCTCCGGGCATCTTCATCACGTCGAGGATTTTCGTTCTCCGCTTTGAACTTTGAATACGAATCAACGCCCGCTCCGTGGGCTCTGAGACCAGCTACCGCGGCTGCTACATCGGCAAGCGAGCCTGCAGAGGGCGCTCCAACTGTCGGAGGGGCAGCAGGCGCAGACTCGGGGGCAGTATTCGTGACATGAGACGCTGGCCGAGGAGCCGGGTGTGGTAGTTGCAGGTTCGCAGGTGGCGGAGGAACCTCACCCTGCGCATCCATGAGGCGCGATTGCAACTGTAGCACATATTCGCGGAGAGCATAGTTGTCATTCTGCATGCTTTTGAAGCTGTGCTCCATGTCGCCATAGTCGCGGACCTGCTGCTCTAACTTCTTGATGTAGTGTTCTTTTCTTTGCCGGAAAGCCCTCTATAAAGTTGATTAGTCATTCGGGCCTAATTCATGAACTGAAAAGCAATAGCAATTGAAGCTTAACCAGGCAGCATGACGTATACGCGGAGAAGTGTAAATTTTGACATGTATTCAATATCAACGAAACATTGCGCCAACAATGGTCATTGATACCTGGTCGCGCTTCTGATAAAAGAAAATGTTGGAGCCGTTTCCCACGCGCCATGTGCACCGGAGGGGGGCCCATACAATCACACAAGAGCGCACAAACGGGAGGGGAAACGTGGTTCGCATAGATAAGTGAAAACTTACTTGGGCGGCTCTGTTCTGCGCGGCGCGTTTTGATTGAGAAAGTTCCCGTTTCGCTTTGCGACCGTCGGGGCCGGAATTATCGGGATCATGATCTATGAGGTCCTGAACAGCCATGGCAGAAGCAGCCGAGGTTGAAGGGCCAACCCCAGGCGGTCCAGGCGGCATGGTCTCGAGAGCAGGCGCAATGCTGGCGTCTGCTCTCAGTTGTGGGTGAGAATGGCCTTGGTGGTTCAGGCTGTGTTGGCTGTAACCATGCGATTGCTGTGTAGCAGCAGGGAGCGGAAGCGGCAGCGGCAGACCAGACGAATGTGAGGGACCTATTCTGCCGTCTTTTGCGGTGGACTCCGCGTTGTTGTTTGAAGGTGTCGTTGTTGCAGCAGTTGCCTGGGAGAGTCTTGACCGCAGTGCCAGCTCTTCGTCTGTGGTTTTGGGACGACGTTGGTCCAAAAGTCAGTTTTCTCGGTGTTGAGAGCGAGTATTACACTACTTCGGAGTACCGGGGGTTGGGAGAAGTCCAGAGGATATAAAGAGCCAGTCACAACCGGAACAGCAGCATGGAAGTGGGCCAGAATGGGAATATGTAGGATAATGAAACTCTCCGGACCAGGGCCTAGCAGCGGGATTTGGTAATGGAGTAGCCGGTGAGTGGGTGTTCAGAGGAGGGGGACGTGTATGTAACGCGCGAGACCAAAGGACATGTAAAGTTGCGGCTACGTTCTGGCGCCAGTATGAGATGCTGATTACATATACAACAGGGGATTAGACGGCCTTAGCATGGAGTGGAGGGGGAGGGGAGGTGGGCCTAGCAAAAACTTGGCCGCCTCGGATATGGTGGGGTTTTTGTAGCCGCAACTTGCTGCGCGTGCGTACAGTACTAGCGCTACCTAACTCCGGAGAGAGAAAGAGAGAGAGAAAGGCCGGCAGGTAGGTAATCCGAAGAGAGAAGGGAGAAGTAAAGTGTGCCACAGTAATATAACTGTGTAGGCCAGGTAGGTAGTAGGCAAGCAAGCCTTGTGTGTAGTAGCCACCCGGCTCTTCTACAGAGGTGTATGTGTGTTGGAAGGAGTACCTAGCGTGTGTCTGTGCTATGCTGCTGGCGTCCAATTCTGCTGTCGTGTACTAGTTGAAGAAGGGAAAGAAAAAAAAAAGAAGAAGAAAATTGGACCAAGGAAATGAATCATAAGGTAAGCATGACGGAAGCTAGCCGGCGTGGAAATGATGACTGATGATGAATTGGTGTGTTTGTTGAAAGAGCAAGACAACCAAACAAAGCAAAGCAAAAGAGGACCAGAGAGGGAAAAAAAAAACGACGATGCGCCACACTTACCATTGAAGTTTGCGCTGGCCTGCATTATGGAAATTAGTCAGCGTGCTAAACTGGGGAGAACGTTTGTTGGACAGGTCTAATAAATAGAGGGCAGTTGATGTGTGGTTGAGAGTCATGCGACCCTTCTTGGAGGTGCGGAATCAAATCGCCTCTCTGTCTCTGTTTCTGCGTCTGTGGTCTGTCTAATAATCCGAGGAACAAAACGTGGTGTGTTGAGCAAAAGAATTCCGTTGGCCCTGTAGGGCGAACTGGGGTGGTGGTGGTGGTGGTGGTAAGAAAGGACGAGAGACACTGACACACACAACCAACAGGTCCAGTGATCGGGTATTAGAAGGGAATGAAATTTGAGCCACGGCGGACAGGCAGCTCTTTTTTTACTTATTAGGCGGTAGGTGATAAGTACGTAGATTGTTGACATGACTGGGGGAACGACGAGACAGTTCCGAGTCCACTTGCCTACATACATTATGCCTATGACCTTACCAAGTACCTAGCTTGCTAATGTAGCCAGTGGACTTGGGCCGGGCCCGAGGGTAACGACGGCAAGCCAGAGTAAACCATGAACTGCTTGTCGTTGGCCGGGCTCACTAACAATAATGTAACGACCTAGCCATGTACCTTACCTAACTGTCCTTTGTCTTACTAATGGAATAATTGAGCTGGAGGGAATGCAGTACGTAGGTACTTTGTACCTAGGTATGCACCTGGGGTTATTCAATTGATGCCACCAGATCTAAAAAGGAGCCAAGGGCTGCTCGTTGACCTTCCACGGGCGGGACCATGGAACTGGACTTGTAAAATAGAAAATGGATTCTGCCGCTTGGATAGCAATAGTTCATGTCCATGAATCCCAAATGCTTGTCTGTGTTCTCACAATAATTCCTTCGCAAAAGGCGGAGACTGGGGGGAGGGGATGGGAATGGATGAAAGAAATAGCCATGCTTGCCAATCTTGGTAGATCTGGTGCAAGCTGCAGCGGCTTTTCAAGGTTCCTTGTGTCACCCCGAAGCTGCTGTACGGAGAATGTTTGTTTCCCTTGTACATACTTTACCCAAGTAGGGGGGATCTCAAATTATGAGCCCACACACGAAACGAGATGTACAGAAGTGGCTGTACCGTTCAACTCTCCTCGCTGCCGCAACGATTAACAGGGTCTTAGAGTGCTGACTGGCCGTCGGACCAATCATAGAAATGCTGCTCGGGCCTTTCGCCGCCGGCTTTGGTCATAGCCCTTTGGTGATTTGCAGTTCCATGTGTGATGTCTGGCTTGGCTAAAATGTACCGAGCCGAGGATTTGGGCAATCGCTAGGAGGGCAGTCAATGACACTCGGTGCGATTTGACTGATCAAGAAACACGACGGGTGGATATCAAATCTTGCCCACGCCGCGCGTAGAATACGTCTTGGTTTGATGTATAAGGCACCATCAATCCTGTCTATCGACACTCACAGTTGTCTGTAGAGAGGGACAGGCAGATGAGGGCATGTTTGTTCCTGTCAATCGCCTCTACAATATTCATAGTAAAAGATACTGTATCAGTTAGTAGAGGAGTACTGTAGTAGCACGCGTCGTGGGTTGCCGGGAGGGACTGGAAGCCACAAGGTTCGTTGCTTGGTCACGCCACTGGCTGCCCAAAGTCGTACACAAGTACGGGTACAGACGCACGCAACTGAGTGCTAGGAATCGGCTATCTCCATGTCTACTTACCATATGTAGACAACGATGACATGAAGCAGGATCAGTCGCTGGCAAGGTATGCAAGTGCTGCACGCTGTTCCGTTCGTTATACCATAGAGTGGCAAGCAATATATGGAATAGAACCAAGACGGGGTTGATGGAAAAAAAAAAAAAAAACAAAAATACCAGGACCGTGGCGGGTTCTGATCGCGTCGTGGGATTTCATTGGCACTCCCCAGCACTATACTTTCCAGTCATACTATTTCGTGAATTACCTTTAGGTACCTATGCCCCCCTGGAGCGAGGAGCGAGAAGCGCCCGCGGACTGCCGACAGTCCGGGCCGCTGGGAAGGGGATTGAGAATCGCTGGCTTCATTGCTGGTTGATCACTGATGACTGATGACTCGCTAGACTATCGCCACGGACGGGGCGAAGCAACGAAAAAGAAGCCCCCCACCCCCCCGGACGGGTATCCGGTCAGCGAGATTAAGTTCCGCCCTGGGTTTGTCAGCACAAATATCCACAATCGATGGAATCCGAGGATGCTCCAGAAGCGAGTAACAGCTCTCGACCTTTATTCCGTACCGTGGCTTGGCTGAATGAAATGCTCGCTCCCACTGCACCCGTCCATGCATGAGGTGATTGCAACCGCTGCAAGATTGAGAACCGAAGGGGCCCTTCCTTCAACCTGCTCGCTCCGGCCTTGAGTCCGAGGTGTACCCTTTTTTTTTNTTTTTTTTTTTTTTTTTTTTTTTTTCCCCAACAGAAGCCAGCTGTCGACCACTCGTCTTGCGCCTTCATGGGGCCGCTGTGGCGTTGCAGTTGTCGGTTGATTACATCTTGTGTGAGAAAGCGGCACAGTTCAGAATGAGGAGAAGGAGTCGGAGGACCACCGGACGCCGCCTGTCAGCACGAGTCCTACCGCCATGTGTCGGTTCCTCCCCCTCTACCGGTACCTAGGCAAGTCATGTAATAAGGTCATGTATGAATCTGGGTGCCCGAACTACCTTGCATTAGGTCACTAAGGTCATGGATTTTTTTAATATGGGCTGTGTGGTGACTCTGGTGAGTAAGGTGCATTAATAAGGTAAGCACACCTGCATGGCCAGTACTGTGTAAGTGATGAACACCAATACCTAACCTAATGTGGCCCGGTTGTCAACGTCAACCTGCTACTTGCGTGAGGAGGCTTCGATGTAGGTAGGTAAGTATGTGCATACATGGTTGGTTGAGTTGGGCTCTTTACACACACACACACACACACATGCATTGTCAGGAGCCAGTGACATCAAGATGGACAGGTAGATTTGAAGAGCAATCTGGATAGTATGGAATCCGAACATCAGAGAACGTTTCGTCCGAAGCTTGAAACTGCCGTTGTAAGGCTTAGCTAGGGAGTTACTTGTCACCAGCGAACACCTTGTCGCGTCAGTCTAATTCTAGCACAGTCATTCGTGAGTCGTACGTTTGCACAGAGACTTCCCTTTCAGGCCTCTTCCGCAACCAAACCGGAGTAGAAACAGGATGCGGAGGTTTATTTCGTACAGCTCGGCCGTGTTAGCAACATGTTGGGCTTGTGCTGATTCGTTGCTACCAACAAGAATTGTGGGACAGTCAGCACCTTCAGCTGCACATGTGCCTTTTGTTGTTTCCGTGTTGTACCTACTTGGTGACTCGTAGTCTCGTATGCAATGTTGAGTATCTCCAATCTTTGCAAGATCTAGTTTGAGTCGGTACAGAGAACAAGCCAGACTCTGTATACTACACATGAGCTGACAAGAGATCTTCTATTGCCAACGGCCAATTTTGAAACAAGACCGTCCTCAGTGTCACATTCCCTTGGCTATACTCTCTTCTCCAGCTACGTAATTCTGCCTGTTGTGCAGTAATGTAGGTAGGATGAATGGTATCGCACCATCTGGCGCTTTCCCTATCCTCTTTTTCCAAACCAGTACCACAGTATTTCTGTACATGTCGGGCCAAGCACTCGGCCTTGTAACGCGCGAGCCATTTTCTTTGTCCGATTCTCATGGGGTCTCATTGGGAAGAGCAGCACACCCCAGTCCACACCGCGATCAGCATCAGCATCAGGCACAACCCTGTTGCATTACATAACCAGACGTGTGGAGAAGACAATCCAAACATTAGTGACAAGTGTAGTTCGGCGGCCGCCTCGCCGATCTCGACTCAGCGTAGTCGCAACGCCTCGATTTACATTTACACTCTTACCATCACTGCGGAATTGCTTCCTGCTACGTACTGCGCCCGCCCGGCACCTCTTCTTTGCGCCCCCATCTTCCTCTGCAAACTAATGGACAGATTTCGGGGCTGGGTTGAAAAGAAAAGAGACAGGAAACAATGGAGTCGAAGATACCTACGGATATCCCGAACTGTCAACTTCCTACAGACCCCATGCACTTGAAGCAACATTCATTCATTCCCCCCATGTGGAACAGGGGGTCTTCGCAGCGTCCAATGGATACCTTCTCAATACTCTCATACAATACGTCCGCTGCATACCGCGCTGAGGCGCGCAACTACCTAGGTAGGCTGCTGCTAGGTAGGTCAACTGGTACTTTTACTCTGTACAGGTAGGGGGAGCAAGTTCCAGGTTGTGTCTATCTTGCATGACTGCTCAACTGCAACTGGGGGCACGGATTACGAAGTACATACGAGAGAGATCATCTCTCCCTACCTGGCACCACTCGATGGGAAGGACTTACACACTCTGCATTGAGGCTGGTAGTGCCCTCGCGCTCCACTTACAACGACTAGAAACCACAGCCAAGTCATCAACAAGTCATACCATGATATTTTTGTGTCTCATATTGGTGTGCATCCTCTATTTGCGTCCTCATGCATGTGCCCCCCTGTAATGTGCATTTCCTACCCGAGTATATACGCATCGGAGATGACGCCCACGTTATGTTGCTGCCCTGAAAACAATTAACATCGTGGGAGCAGCACTGGGGAGGGTTTCAATCTTTTGCTGCAGCAAGCCACTCCAATTGTCGACCGGTCTGCCCCTAGGGGAAGGACATCAGCACGACAAGGAATGTGTCGCGTCAATTAGGTCCCAACCACTCTGGCCAGAAATCCTCAGTAGTAGTGACTGGCATTACCTACCGTTATGGCTGTCAGCCGTGTCAGCTTTGTCAATAGCAACTGCTTACAAACCACAAGTTCTAGGCGTTCTTATTGAGGATCCTCTTCATAGTATTGCCTCTCCGAAACGCCTCCCGAATCAATCCATCGAAGAGACCATCTGCCCAATTATGCCAAAGCACGCGGGGCTCAGTTACAGCTCCCGACGTGGGCTTCAGCGGATCAGTCATCATCAGAGAGAACCACACTTTTTTACAAAGACAGACAAGCGGCGCGTCTTCTGCTGACTGTCTACCTGACCTAGTGATCTAGCAGCTGCCACTGTGCCTCCAAATGTGGGCAAGACCGGCTAACTAGACGACTCTACGATGTCCGACCCATCCGTGGAATATGATATGATGAAGTAAGTACACACACGACAGTGCGGAGTTGTCGGCTTTTACAACATGTCAGCTTCTTGGTTCGCATTCGGTCGGGACTTGTCGACAAAACCCCCCTCCCCTTGAGACAGGTGCGACAGCGGTAATTCTGTCACAAACCCGATCGGCCCATGCAGCACAGTACAGTGAATCAACTCCCTAGCAGCACTCCCTGCGCGAGTTGCAATGCGGCTGTTCTTTAGATGAATCCCTAATTTGGGCCACAAGAATCGGAGTCTTCGTCAGCACAGTCAAAGCGGCGGATGTTACCCGTCCCTCGCATGCCAGTCAGCGGCAAGGATGCGCATCTCGCAGGGACAATCAACAGCACTTTAGAAGATCGGGCCCACAGGGGTCTTTTGTTTCTTTTCGGCATCCTGGTTTGTATCCTTTTCTACGCGTGCGGCAACTTTGCCCCGTCATGGATGGCTAAAGTGACATCAGTTCATCAAAGGAACCAAATCATGTTTGCTGCTCGCTTGCGCTTTCACCCCCACATGCAGTTATATCCCAGAGCCTGAGAGGTGTCCGGCGCCGACATTCTATACGTTGGCTGTATTTGAGTATACTGCTAACCAAATGATGATTCCCCCATGTTCGAGTCATTTGCCTACTAGCAGTATATGATGGGGCCACACCTCTTGTTCCCTGCTTACTATAGATATCACCGAAGGCTAATCAAAACAGCGCCGAACGACAGGGTTAAAACATAGGCGAGCCAGTAGGTCATCACATGGAAGGAGACTTGTAAAGTCTACCACCTCTCCACACATGGGTGATGTAGGCCGGGTCTGTCAAAAACGATAGGCTCTCCAGTGGGTTACCTGCAACACCAAGGATATCGGCATCGAACCCAGCCTTCAGTTGGCCACTGCTGGGGGCCTTCTTGCCTAGCACCTCTGGGGCGGTGGCCGTGATCGCCTCAATGGCAGCCAGAGGTGAGAGGCCAGCCTGGACCGCATAGGTCAGCTCCATGGCGTTACGACCATGAGATATACGATGGTCTGGGTTGCTGTTCCACATATCCGTTCCCAAGGCGATTTTGACGCCCAGCTTGATTGCCAGCCTGTAATTGTCTCTGGTCAAGGGGACAATCTTCTGAATCTTCTCAATCACTCGCGGAGGAAACTCTGTGGGATCTTGCAGCAAGCTCTCCTGAATATGCCGAGTGGCCACCAGGATCGTGCCCTGCTTCTTCATCAGGCCTGCCACCTCTTCATCTAGGTAACAGCCGTGCTCTATGCTCGTGACTCCAGCTCTCAAGGCGGCCAGTATGCCAGCCTTTCCAATTGCGTGCGCTGCAACAGCACGGCCACTCCGCGCGGCCTCGTCAACAATGGCCTTGAGCTCGTCGTCGGAGAACTGGCGGTCTTCCGGATCATCATTGAGGCTCAGGACTCCTCCCGATGAGCAGACCTTGATACACCGTGCCCCACGTCGAACCATCTCCCGGACTCCTTTGATGCATTCGTCAACGCCGTCGCAAAGATAAAAGTTGCCACCAGCCTCTGTAAACTGGTGAACGGCACAGATGGGTACATCGTGTTCGTCGCCATGGCCGCCAGTAATGGATAGTAATGACAACGACGAGTAGACGTTTGGACCAATAATGTATCCATCACGTATTCCAGGCCACAGGTATCCCGCAAACTTTTTAAGTCGTGTCAGCATATTTACATAGACGGATTAGAACAATGAGTGCGGCGTAAACACAAGTAAACATGTCTTCTCACCCCTGAAAGCTCGCGAACACTGGTGAAGCCTGCCTCGAGCGTGCGCTTGAGGTCGGCCACGGTCACGGCTCCGGCCAGACTCTGGGCGCCGGGCAGCAGCGCTTTAGAGTCCCCAAAGGTGGAAAAAGCACGCCCGTATCCGCCAAAGTGTGTATGGCAGTCCCACATCCCGGGCATCAGAACGGGGACGTGCTTGAAGTCGACGTGCCCATACTTTGACGGACAGTCGGCGTAATGCCCGACCCATTCAATCTTGTCGTCCTTGATGACGAGGGCACCATCTCGAATCGGCTCCCCGCGTCCGGGAATCAAGAGGTCGGATCTCAGACCCGTATAAGCCACAATCGCGTCTGGTGTCACTGTCGTTTCTGCGACAATACTTGCGGCGGGCCTCGCCGCCAATGGCTGCGCTGGGAGTTGGGGTACACGCATTGTAGTCCTCTAGATTGATGAATGGCCACGGACGATCCGATCAGGGTGAGCTGTTGGACTTGAGATATTTTATTATATATATTCCAAAACAAGATAGGAATTGAGGTTTATTTACGCGCGTCGGGTCTGTAAATAAAAGGCGGATCTACGTTCCGATATCTACGTTCCGAACAAGGTTGGATGGGGAGTCTGGACTGTTACCCCACAAACAGGACAAAGACCCCCGCCATTTCCTGGGCAAAATCTATCAAGAAGATAGATATGGCATGAGACGTGTCAGAGACCGCGGAATATATCATGGGTGTATCCGAGGTCGAACCCAAGATTGTATATATATATGGAGTCGAATCGAGCCAGTGTTACTTGACGAGAGAATGGTGGATGGCATGAAGTTGCGAGTCTGGACCAACCGGTCACAAAATCATGCTTTTGTTTGTGTCAAGTGCCACTGTTACGGGGAGCTGGCCCATGCTTAGAGTGTTACCGAAATTTCGACTTCAACTAATGACTACATGATTGCAAAAGCTCACCTTGCTACTTATCATATTACATGAGCGCAATTCGACCAAATAAAGTCATACAATTAAATTTTAACTTCCGTTGCAAGCTCATACTCACACCGAGGCAATATCTGGCAGCCGGATACGTGACCTCCGGGCCCCTTCTTTGTTTTTTGCCTGCCTGCACTGCGGGCAGCATTCTTTTCGGAGAGCTCTGATGCCAGCCATCAAAGCGTGCTCAACGCGGTCCATGCTCAGGGGTTTCGGCACATTCTCTAGAGCTACTGCCATCTTACGCAGACAAGGGCACCGGGCCGGTCCAGTATCAGCTGCCCGTTGCTTGCAACACCAAGATCAAGTCGTCCACCGCAACGGAGGAGCAGGCGGCCTGAATGATCCAGTGCATGTCGGTAGCATCCCGAGGAGCACAGGAATAGCAGCCATGTCTACGGCGGCGGCGGCGGCAGGAACAGTGCCTCGCTTCTCGGCAGGATCGGATGAGGCGGTGATGTTGGAAAAGCTTCAGCCTCTGCTGTCTTCTTCATCATCGGCGGCCGGTGGTGGACGCTGGACGCTCATCCCGAATGGCCAGGGCCTTGAGCGGAGTTTCAAGTTCAAGACATTTGCAAAGACCTGGGTAAGTTATCCACTTTTTCTTTTCTTCTGGGAAATTTTTGTCGTTTGCAAAAGGTGGTTGTATTCGCGGGCAACCTTGATGGAAATGTTTGCTTGCATGAAGGAGGGGAGGAAAAGAGTTTAAATTTCCTCCTGAATTTGACATGCCATCGCTTCCAATTGCTAGGTCAACCTTGCTGCACAAGAGGAGATAGATACCACAAAGCTTGCCACATTATATCCATGTGCTAGGTCTGCACGAGGCAGAGTTATCTCATCTTGAATAACTGTGATCCAATGGCCAGGTCAAGCAAATCAGGAAACTGTGTTTCAGGGTGGCCGTGAATCAAGCGACACAGCGCCGATCCGCATATGACTCTAGAGTTATATCCCGGTTTTCAAGAAGGACGTGATTTGCTGACTGATCACCTTATAATCAGGACTTCATGACTGCCGTTGCACTGCAATGTAAACTCAAGAACCATCATCCCGAGTGGTCCAATGTGAGTACCTCTTTTTTCCCTTTTCCAACACTTGATACTTGCCATATCTTTGACTCGTTACATGCCCAACGGCTTGTGTGTACAAACCAAAACCCACTCTGCCTCTCGCTGGGGATGACGTGTATGAAGCCCAACCATCCTTTCCTCCTCGTGCTGACTCATGATTGCGGTGCGGCGAGTTTTCACGCACTGTGGCACATCTGTAATGCAACCCTCTTCTGCCCTCCTTGATACTGACCCATTGTCATACAGGTGTACAATACCACCTTTATCCGCTGGACAACACACAGCCCACCGGGCCTGTCGGCACTCGATGTTGAGCTCGCTGCTATTTGCGACGGCCTCGCTAGAGATTTTGGCGAGATTGTCGAAAACGTGAAGCAGAGCGACAATAGCTGCAGCTTGGGAAGACAGCTCGCCGATACTGTGGCCTCGGGTGCAGGTGATTGCTGCGTACCGAAACCAAAGGCGAACCCAAAGACTCAGTCGTAATGAGCCCTTGCGTATCGCATCCAATAATACGCAACGCCAATGTCCCAATATAGTAGTATATGAGCGAGAAAGTGTTACAGTCTCGCTTAGTGTTGCATCAGTAGATACCATCGAGCATACTCGTACTTTTCAAGGCACGTCATAACACTTTGTTGAATTAATATGCCAACCATCTTCGCGGATGGAAGGTCTGGTGTATCATTAGGTTGTTCGTCTACCTTTCGTCGAGTCCACCTCCCCCAAATATTAAATCTCTATACAAAAAGGTCGGCCCCCCAAATATGTACAATTAACGAAGGACCTCGGACGCCGCTCAATGCAAGCCAATTCTTCCCTGCCGAGAGAATTCATATGCTTTTTCCGTTCCTGATGAAAAAAGACCTCATATCGATCCTTAAAACTCCCCGAGGACAGGACGTACTGGCAATGGCCTTTTGAAGGGCCAGGCCGATTACTGTCTATAGTAATGGTCGAATTGATTGGACCAATACCTTAGTTGGCCTTCTTGGCCTTGAGAGCAGCCAGCTTCCTCTCGCGGCGGCGCTTGGCAGCCTCAGGACCAGACTCGGTGTCAAGCATGTAATCCCACCATCTGAAGCTGGAGGAATAGTTGCCAATGAAGCGCTCGTGGTGAACGTCGTGGTGGTGCGCGCCAGCCCAGAAAGGCAGGAAGTTGTGCAAGCTCCACGGGAAATCGTAGCCACTGTGAGAGTCGATGGCCTGGAACAGACGACCAACGATCCACATGTACATGGTGAAGAGGTGCAGATCACCGGTAAGAGAGACCCAGAGGATGGGAGATCCTACCGTGCCCATGGCGAGCAGCATAACCTCAATGGGCGAGGCATACTCGGCGGCAAGACCAAAGGGAGCAGAGTAGGTGTGGTGCAGCTTGTGGATCATCTTGTAGAGAGGGCCATAGTGCAGAGCGCGGTGGAACCAGTAGTGCCAGGTATCCTCGAGGACGAAAAAGATGGAAATATGAAGAGCCATCTTCCAGAGAGGAGGGAACGGCACACCATAGTCCATGCCGAAGTAGGTGGCGATGGGGTGGAAGAGCCAGATCTGGGGCAGCTCGACGGTGAAGTGACTGAGCAGCACAAGGCTGGCGCAGTCCCATTGCTCCTTCAGGGTGGGAATCTTCTGGTTTTGCAGCTTGTATTTCCTGAAGTAAGGAATGCTGTCGATGATCATCCAAGGAAGAGAGCGGCCGAAGTAGATGACCTCGTGCATGACGAAGCTCATGATGCCGGTCGCGAGCGTGTCATTCTGCATCCAGAGGTACCAAGCAGCCCAGAGGCGCTCGACGACGTTGAGCTGAACATTGTGCTTGGTAACCTCCTCGAAGACACTGGAGAAGGTATCCGGGTTGGTGAAGACGCCAGCGAGCGTCGCGTTCCTGTCAAAAGGAAAAAAAAAAATGTCAGTATGCAAGATGCGCGCGACACGACCGTCCTGACTCGCGGTCTGGGGAATGTTGGGGGGGGGGGGGGGGGAGCAGTAGCCTTACAGTCCCGCCATGGCTTTTGAGGGCAATTATAGGTAGCCTAGAAGATGGTGAAACTAGGTGAATGAATCGCCTGCTGGACACAACCTCGAGAGAGTGAGTACAGCTTTCTAAAGGAACGACGTAGCCCTGTGCAATTCGCTCGGGAGCTGGCAATCGAATTGTTAAATACGAAGGGGGAGAACCGTTGAGGAGGCGATAAGGGGATGGGTTTGGGAGATTTTGCAGGACCCCTGGCAGTAACAAGCAGGCCAATCAAATCAGCGCACCATTGTGGGACGACGCGGCTTCTCGAATTCCGGTGCACATGCAGATCCAGATCAGATGGGTCTGTTTAGTGCCTGAGCAGACAGCGGCAATCCCCGTTGTGGCGCAGATTATCCATTTGCAGTCTAGTCAAGCCAGTGAAGCCAGTCTTCAAGTGTTCTTTTGTTCTTTTTCTTCTTCTATTTCCAACAAAAAGGCTGAGAAACTTGCTGGGTTTTACTCTGGTGTGGCTTGCTAGGTACCTACATTCCACATTACATTGTAGGTAAATGCGCATGGACTTCTCTCCAAATGTCGCCGCTGTCAGTGAGCAAAAGTATCCACCGCCAATCAGACCCCGATTCACGATCAGGGCGACTTTCGGCATCCAGGGCATCCGCATCACACCACAATCCTTTGTTGCAGACCTCAATTGCTTCCTCCCCAAGCTCCCCACTTGTTGCCTATTCGCCCGTCGGAAGCTGTTGCATTGGTCTGTTGAGAATATAGTTTTTTGTACTATTTGTACCTCGAGCTTACCGAAAAAGGTCGTTGATTCCATATGGCTGCTCTTTTATTTGTTCGGTGACCTTCTCATAGCCCTATGCGACTTGTAGTGAATATTCAGGTACTCAGTGTTCAATAGCTGCGACCATCGGATAGCTTGAGGATGGCGAGGATGGATATTTGTTGTGGGTAATGTATGGAAGCCGCCACTGACAAACTGGAGTCTTCCATGCCACTCTGTACACTAAAACTCCCTGGTATTACCTTGTGTGATCATTATTATTGCTCTCTAGTTTCTCCATTTGCCCATCAATAATCCATCCCCTTGATCCCGCATATTCCTTTTCCCATTGTCGGCTTGCATGATATAATTTTCTGGCGGTGATCTGTTGATCTCAGTAAAGAGATATCGGTGTCTTGATGCTGTCTTGCCGTTCTTGTCTGTGCGTATTGTGCCTGAAACTCAAAATCCAAAAGAGTGCTTGTGTTCCAAAAGCTTATTAGTTCTGTTCGCTGGCTGGTGCGCCACAGCTCCAGTTGCCAGCGCAGAGCTGCGAATTGCGGCGGCCGAAGCGGGTACCGATTTGGTTGCATGACCTCACTGTAGCCGACCACATACACACTGCTACCACGGCATGCCAACTTTCCTAGTAAAAAGTAAACAAACCCAGACTCTTCACGTTCATTGTCTGCAAGGCTGAAGAAATGAGCCTCTAAGAGAGTATATTTCCCTTGGGAGCTCATCTTCTCGTATTCGTGTTCTTACCTGCCGCATTTTTGTCCGCTCAGGCATCTCCCATCCTCTCTCAGGCGGACAAGGAAGGGATTGCCCAACAAGCGGATCAATCATTCGATCATCGTACTCGGCATCCAATCCCCGGTTCGGCAACTATGAACTCACTTTCGCCTTGAAGAGATCCACAAATTATCTCCTCACACCATAGTCGTCTGCCGTTTCTCAGGACCGAGAGAAGAAGAAAGGGAGAAAAGAGAAAGGGGGTGAACTATGTCGGTCGTGGCAGAGTAAGTCTTCATTCTCATCGAGAAGTAGCGGCGCAGCGCATGCACTGACGGCCATGGTCACAAAACAGCCAGGTGCGGCGCCTGGATGCGCAGCTGGATCGCATTCCTTTTACCCACCTCGCAGCTCACCATGACGATGAATTTGCAGCCCAGGCTTCTGCACAACTTGATTCACCCAGAGTCAAGGAACTGCTGCGTGTGATCAAGTCCCTCTCAACCACCTCTACTGCCCATCCTGTACTGCCAGCATGGAGACTGCAGACTCTCTTATCCCAGTCCGACCTCGGGACTGTGACCAGCGATGAAGACCATCCAGTTGGCCAGTACGAAGCCGAACTCGAGTGGCTCTTGGTGAGCAAAGCCACTGTGCAAACATATGGAATCATCATGGATACCCTATTGGACCAGATTATTCCTCTGAATGATCACATCTGGTATTGGGACGACATCCTGTCATCGCATTCGTTTGGGACTCTCTACCTGGTACAGACGTCACCATGGCGCTTTTGGGCATGGACTCAGGAGATTTACCAAGACAGCATCGACCGCCTTCGCAATCGTCGGTCCATCGGCTCTAACGAATTCTCGGAACAAAACCTTGGCGAGGAGATTGGCTCTTCTATTTCACAGCGCTGGCGACAGTTCTATGGAATTGTACGTGACAGCATTCGGGAGCGATCTCTAGTGAATATTCAAAATCGATTCATGTCTCCGGCGGCCGTAGCCCGAACAGAGGCACGGAGAAAGCAAGCCAAACTGAAGAAACTCAGGGAAATGACATCGAGCGGACTGGGTGTACTCATCGATGAAGGCCTCGCCTTTGGAGGCAATGGCAGCGATGACGGGAAGAGCGATATCATCATGTCCAATAACCAAGAATGGAAGGGCGTCGTTGAGCGTAGCGTCGCGCTCATGGACATGGTTCTTAAAGATGTGCTGACATTGGAAACTGGTGTTGCCGAGTTTGAAGATAAGGTCTTTGCCGGCGTTGAAGAAGACCCGGAACTTTCCATTCAGGTGGAAGAGGACGAGGGCAACCGACCTGCCGTAGTTGCCAAGCGGTTGCAGACCCTTCTCGAGAAGAAGCTGCCTGGTCATCTAGATGCTGCCTCCAAGATCGTAGCTGAGCATGGCCGGCCATCGAGACTTGTACGATACTGGTTGCCGGCAACAGCGATATTGCTGTCATCTACAACCATTCTGCGCGTCTTCTTCAACCACGAGCAGGAAATTCTTGCATGGATTGCCGATTTTGGTGTCACGGTCAAAGACTTTTGGTTCAATTGGGTTGTCGAGCCTACCCGCAAAGTCGTTGGCACGATACGGCACGACTCCAACAGTGAAATTGCCATCATGAGCAGGGACAGTCTGCAGGCGGACCGGGATAGTCTCGAACGCATGGTTGTGGAGTTTGCCAGCGATAAGCCGTCTGCCGCCATTGGAACATCATCTATATCAGAATCGCAACTTTCAGACATCCGAGCCAAGGTGCGAGAAGGTGATGTGACACCAGTTCTCCGAGCATACGAAAAGGATCTTCGTTCGCCCTTTGTAGGCGCTCTCCGCGGTGATCTTGTGCGAACCCTGCTCATCCAAGTCCAAAAGACCAAGGTCGATGTGGAAGTAGCAATGGCTGGTATTGACGCCCTTTTGAAGAGCCAGGAGCTTGTCTTTGGATTTATTGGATTAACCCCGGGTATCTTGGTCTCTATTGGACTGGTTCAATATCTGCGAACAGTATTTGGCGGCAAGCGAAGCTACCGACAGGAAGGTCATGCAGGAAAGGCTGTGCGTGTACTTCGCAACATTGACCGCATTTTCTCCGAGGCAACGCCGTCTCCCAATAACCTCTTGTCATACAAGGACCATGGTCTCCTTGTATGCGAAGTTCATGTGCTCCGCCGGCTTGCACACTCCCTGCTTCCTGCTGATATCGAGAGGGAATTCCTAGAGGATCTCGACGACCTAGCGAATCTCAAAGGCATTCAATCGCAGGTTCGAGCATTGGATCGCATCCGATGGGCATATGCCAAGTGGCTCAAGTAAATAACAGCAGATGATGGAGTGAGAGACGCGACATAGTCCGTAGTACATCGTCCAGCGAACGGCCATCACTTGCCTATATTCACCGCCATTACGTCGCTATGGAAAACAATTTACACTCTTCTGAAATCGTTCATTAAATTGGATATTGCTCTTTAAAGTGACTACTAAAATGCCGTCTTGTTCACCAGAGCCGTTCTCTTCTTTTCATGAACATATTAAAAGAGTGACTGCATAGCCTAGCAGTTCCTGAACATGACAGTTTCAAGTAACATTCATGGTGACTGGCTACGAGTCACGTGCCCCTTTGGCATTGATATTGACCCCCAATCTTGAGATGGGAAAGCAAGTCGAAATCCGGCGTTTTGGGACGTCTCGAGCATTTGCATGCTTTGGACGCCAAGGCTTGCGCTGCCGTAGCAAGGTGCTCATTGACAGACTTCCTTGATCCTAGGATAGATCGGGTCCGCTCCATTCTTGAAGATGATTGATGCCTCTCAGCAGGAGGCTCCGTGCGTTAGACTGGCGAGACTGTGAAACGACGCCTCAACCAGTTGATCGTCGATGACCAGCAGGTACAAGAAGCAAGCAGCAAGCAACAAGAAGGTAATGTAGTTGGCTAGTACTATATAGTTATGACCTGTAGTGTTATGTTGAGTAAAATTGTGTTGTGTAGGTTGCAGCAGCGGTCAGCGTTCCAAAAAGGAGAGCACCAGTGAGTGGTGTGAACTGCGTGATACATGGCCCCTAACAGTGTCCACGTGCGCCAGTAGGACAAACATGTTGTCTATCTATTCCGGATTTCCAAATCGAAAATATGCCTAGATTAAGAATAAGAATAGCTTCAGAGTGTGAGTAGTCGAGGCCGTTGGCTGAAGGGCTGGTTTTGTTGAACTGTTGACAACTAGTGAATGGATGAATATTCTTGACCGCAAGAGTGCATCTACATACCTACTGAGAGCCTAAGCAGTAGTTCAGTCGGTTAAATTGACATGTGCAGCCAGTGATTTGACACATGGCATGAGTATCCCGATTAGTGGATTGATGATTGGAGTTGCTCCTCAAATCGTCATACTTGGCTGGCTCCATACTACAAAGGGGTTAGATCAGACTGTTCGCCTGCTGTCCAAGGTTTAGGGTATGTCAAGGTACTCAGGGACTGCACGCATCCTCACCCTGACCCCAGTCCCCAAGCCTCTCTCTCTTGCCTGAGGTCCATATCTGCCCGTTGAATTCAGGCGCCTTGGGCGTTTTATCGCAACGCATTACAGCGCAGATACCACGCTACACTCCCTATTTCTGGCGCCTTGTTGAAGGCTAGGGACACCCCAATCCAGCATATCCAGGAGATCAAGTCAAGGTACCTACCTACCTACCTACCACACCTTCCCCCCCCCTCCGACACCCGACTTGCCGTCTGGTCGTTGCTGAGCCTCTGTCTGCGTACGTACCTATTGACCTAGCTTTTGTAGGTAGTTACGTACTGCCACCACTACCACGACTACTACTGGGTCTCCAGACTTTCTGATTGACTTGACAGTCGCTAAACAGACAGACGGGCAGAGACCAGACAACGAAACTAAAACTACACGTCGCAGCACGCCCTCAACTCTCCTATCTCCACGATAACCCGCGGCGGCCACAACGACCACCACAACCCACCACCTGCGACACCCAGACCAGACACTCCTTTTGCGCCCACCTGTCCCTTCGTCTCCGAATATAGACTCTGCGGACATCCATTTGCACTTTCGCCATCTCCAACGAAAACCTGATCGATCCAGACCCTCCTCCGATCACCCCCCGCTGTGTTGGCCAAAATGTCGGGCAACAGAAACTACGATTTCCTAGTACGTCCGCCTTTGCTGTTGATGTTTGTGTTCGCCGCCGAGAACGCGCTTCTTCAACTGCTCCTATTTCCAATGTCCTCTCTTGCCACCGCTATTGCAGCATCAATGTTCCCTGCAATCGACCGACAACTTTGCAAGCTAACCATGTCGCCTCTCTTCTAGATCAAGCTCCTGCTCATCGGCGACTCGGGTGTAGGCAAATCATGCTGTCTTCTCCGGTTCAGTGAGGACTCGTTTACGCCCTCCTTCATCACCACTATCGGAATCGACTTCAAGATCAGAACCATTGAGCTCGATGGCAAGCGCGTCAAGTTGCAGATCTGGGATACTGCAGGCCAGGAGCGTTTCCGTACCATTACTACGGCCTACTACCGCGGCGCCATGGGTATTCTGCTGGTGTACGATGTTACCGACCAGAGATCTTTTGATAGTATGTGTCCCTGGAACCTAGCTCTGCACAATGGAGCAATAAATGAGACCCTAGCCGCCCCAACCGCTGACATGTTTATGCAGACATCCGTACCTGGTTCGCCAACGTAGAGCAGCACGCCACTGAGGGCGTCAACAAGATTCTGATTGGTAACAAGTGCGATTGGGAGGATAAGCGGGTAGTGTCGACGGAACAGGGCGAGGCCCTGGCCAAGGAGCTCGGCATTCCTTTCCTCGAGGTCTCTGCCAAGAGCAATATCAACATTGACAAGGCTTTCTACTCTCTCGCATCCGACATCAAGAAGCGCATTATTGACACTTCGAAAGACCAGCCATCCGGCGGCAACAACAATGTCAAGGTTGATTCAGGAGACGGAAGTGGTGGCCTGGGCAAGTGCTGCTAAATTTTGACCAAACGATGGAATTAAACGAGAACAAAAAAGAAAGCCAACAAGAACGAAGATCCTGAACGAGGACGGAAGGGGCGAAAGCGGAAACTTGTACCGAATACCACATTTGTGCATGATGATGATAGACAGCCGGCATCAGGCGGACAGGGTTGTGGGCTTGATGAGGCGAGAGCCACAAGGCGGCAGAGCATCTTACGAAGCGAGGAAATTCCCGAGGTTGATCGAGTGCAGTTTGCGATGAATGAAAAAGGACGGCATCACGGCACAGCAGGAAGATCATCTTCTCCCTCCTCCTCAGAGCCGATCAGCCCGGGAAGCGGCTGCTAAGATGTTGGCCTGACAAGTAAGCAGGCGATTCCAGACGTTTTTTTCATCGATGGAAACAGAGCAAATATCTTGGTTGGAGTTTGGTTGATATGGGTTCTAATATACTTTTTTGCCAATACCTCTGGTGCCCATTTACCGATTGTTGTAGTTTGCGAAGATAGGGCATGATCCTGCTGTTGTGGTGGCCCAGCGACGGGTACAAGAGCATTCCTATTTGCATGTGCTCGTAATGAACGAGGCAGTTTCTCCTGGGTAATGGACATGACTAGGAACAAACCGTGCCACCCAAGATGTAAAGCATTATAAAGTGTCTATTTCCACGCAATGTAGGACTGTTGCCAGTGCGCTCTCTACAAAAAAGGTTATCATAACAATTTACCACAAGTATGTAACGTCAAGGACCCTGGCCTCCTCCCACTCCGTCAGCGTCTGGTCATTTGCATCCTCGTGCCCCATTCTTAAAGTGAGCTGGCGTCGATGCCAGTGCCTCACAAAACGTCTCGCCTCAGCCTCGTCAGCGAACGGGACGAGAAAGCGCGGATATCTCCTAGTCTCGCTCCTGACCTTATCGGTACGGTCAGCGCCCGACGTGGCACTGGCGGCCTGCTGTTGGAGACTTTCCTCCTGGGTGACGCCAGGGAGCGCTTTGGCATCGCTCTTACCAAATGGCATGATGCCCCATTCTCCATCTTTGCCGCCGCCAACGAGGGTGTCGAGATTTTTGACACGCCAGGGCAGACCTCGCTCCTCATTGTCGTCGCGGATGGAGGCGCGGAGGGTCTCGGGGCTGATCCTTCCGCCATTCACGGCCACCATGACCAAGAACCGGGTCCCGGCCTTGCGGCAGAGCTTCTCGACCAAGCTGCCGGCGATTTCCATGGCCCGCTCCTCGGGTGTATAGTGTGCCACGTCCAGACTCCAGCGCAGATCGGGCGGGACGAGCGTGAACGTCTGAACCTCACGGCGGGTGGACTCGAGCTGCGCGGGCGTGCCATCGATCCCACGGACGCGCACTGGGATGCCTGCGCCGCCAAAGTTGCCTGTGGCCGGGTACGCGCGGCTGCGCATGACGCCGGGGGTGTACGCCCGGCTGAGCTCCCAGAGACGCTTGACCTCCTCGCGCCAGGCGGCGGCGGCCGCCGCGGTGCCAAAGGTCACGTAGTAGCGGCCCAGCGGCTCGAGGGTGTCGGGGTCGCGCGCCTGCACGACCTTGGTGATGCCGCCGACCCAACCTTCAACGTGGGCGGCGCGCCCTGCCCCGACGCGGAAGAAGTCGGACGCGGCTAGGTTCTTGGAGGCCGCGGCGAGGACTACAGTGCACCGCAATTCGCTGGCGGCTCGTGGGTGGTGCGAAGAGTTCTCATAGTACGTAATGAGCGGCCTCTCGGACTGCTGTAGGGGCGAGGAAGATTGCGTCTGCGGCGGCGGGTAGCTGCTGTCCAAGTCATGGTTGGAAATAGATGAGCCGCCTGGCTCGCGGGACTGAGCCCAGGTTTGTTCTCGTCGGACGCGATGCTTGGCTTCGTCGGGGAAGAGCGCGGCAAAGAAGGAGGAGGACGCTTGAGCCGGCTCATGGCCTACTGTTGCTGTTGCTACTGCTGCCTCCGCCTCTGGATTATTTTCAAGAGCCGTCGTGGTCGTGGTGGAGGACTGCCATCGGATGCTACCTCGGACAGGCAAAGAGAAGAGAAGACGTGGACGCCATGCTGCTGCAGCTATGATGAGGCGCGTCTTCAGGGGCTGCTGTAGCTGTCGCATGAGCACGAGATGTCGAGCGAGGCTGTCCGGCGCATCGCAACCCCAGCAGCACTCCTTGGAAAAGGTGTAGGTGTAGGTAGGCTCCGGCTGAGAATTGCAAACGGAAAAGCTTTGGGCGCCGTAGAGGATCCCTCAAGCTATCCGCAAGGTTTTGGACGGTCCCGCTGCAGTAGCTGCCACTGAGGCTAGGCGACAGATAGCGCCTGTCTCGCCAGGGGAACGCCTTGGTCGCCCGCCATGCTGCAAAAATAGCGCCGTGTATTCAGAGGAGGGCCAAAAAAAAAAAAAAAAGTATCGCTATGCAAAAGTTGGACCCGCACAAAAAAATCCAGTTCTATCCAATCCGCCTGCATAAACTATTTTTACTAGATTGTTCTCAGAATAACCAATTACTTATTGAAAGTCATGGAGATTTTGCTCAAAAAGCATGAGTATACATGATCTGTGACAAAAGTTCAAAGTTTGATGTTGGTCTCGGCCCACTGCTCAATTAAACCACAAAGCTTTTGCATTTGCAGGACTATCGTGAAATAGTCTTAGGTGGAGCTATATCTCTTTCCAACACGGACATTTTTTCAAACACGCACTGTCAGAATTATTCTCTTCTGAGAAGGGGTCGTCATGAAGAAGCCCATTGAGGCAAAGGTCCGTCTCTCGACGCAAGAGCTGCCCAACCAGAAACATGCAGCCAAGGTATTCTTGAACGGCACTCTCATACTGGAAAACGGCCTCCAGGCAGGACAGGTCGTATACATTGAGTCTACCAACGACCCAAAGAAACGACGGGAAGGTATTGTGTGGCCTTCGACGGATAAGAACCTCGCCGGCAACAAGAGCGTGGTTCAGCTGAGTCGAGCTTTGCGGGAGGCAACGCACCTCGAGTTGGGCGAGGTCATAAGGGTATCCGACGCTGGAAAACCAAGCGTGCCGGATGCCCTGGACGTGGTCATTCGAGACGTGACGCCAGATGCGCCCGTCATCTCGGATGCAGAAAGAAAGTTTGTTGCCTACAATGTGGAATGTGCGCTCGGTAGGTTGTCCCCATGCCTCAGTCAAACCGCCATGGATGAAGTCATTCTTGTTCATATCATAGATATACTCCGTATTGACGACCCCACCAGAAACTGCCGAGTTCGTCTTCCCCGGCCTCAACCTGGACAAGGTGCTTGGAAAAGGTGTCAAGCGTTCCTTCATTGTCGAGTCAGTCAACGGCTCAGGGACCAATGTCGCCAAATATTGTACCGATACACGAGCTCAGTGGCTCGAGGCTGACGCTGGTAATGGAGATCAGGCCCAGCCCCCCCCTGGCCGACTAGAGATTTCCGGAATTCCCGGCATGGCAGATGCACTGGACAAACTCGATGACTTCTTCAGCGACTACGATGTCAAGTTCAGCCATGGGGCATTCCCCCACCCCTCATGCGGTATCGTTGTACAGGGAAGCCGGGGAACAGGAAAATCCATGCTTCTAAACAGGATTGCAGATACACGATGGGGAAGCGTCAAGCGCATCAAGACTACAGACAAGCCACAAGCCATCCAAGAGTCTTTTAGGAACGCCATTGACGATGAAAAGGCAACCATCATTCTTATCGATGATATGAGAGGGGTGGTGGGCAAGGATCGGCCCGCTGCCACTGATGCTGTTCTCAATGGTCTCGAAGAGCTCGCAGTCTTGACCATCGGAAACAAGAAACGTCCAAATGTGCTCGTGGTAGGCAGTTGCCGCAACTACTTGGAAGATGTCCCCGAGGGCTTGCAGACGAGGCTCGCATTTGGGCGCCACGTTACGCTCACCATTCCCGATGCACCAGCGCGGAAGGAAATTATTCGATCATATTCGCCCAACTTCATGCCGGAACACTTTGACAAATATGTCTCCGACCTGGGAGATCGCACTCATGCTTACACGGGTAGCGACCTGGTGGACCTTTTGCACAGCGCTTTTAGAGCTTCACAACGCCGAACAAGAAATCGGGCTGGCGGCGAACCCATCACCTGGGAGGATGTTCAGCGAGCGCTCCAAGAGATCCGACCCACGGCCATGCACGACATAACGTTGAAGCCGCCCACTGTAAGATGGAACGATATCGGAGGATACCAGGAAGTAAAGACAACACTCCAGCAAGTGCTGAACCGCTCTACGGACATGGTCGTAAGCTGGAAACCGCCAAAGGGAGTATTAATGTACGGACCTCCGGGCTGCTCAAAGACCATGACGGCCCAGGCCGTCGCCACCGAATCCGGCTTCAACTTTTTCGCCGTCAAGGGTGGGGAGCTGCTAAACATGTACGTCGGAGAGACGGAACGATCGATCCGCAACCTCTTCCAGAGAGCCAGGGAGGCAAGCCCCAGTGTGATTTTCTTTGATGAGATCGACTCCATTGCCGGCAATCGGTCAGGGGGCGGCGCTACGGCGGGAGGCGGTGTACAAGCCCTCACCACTCTGCTGACGGAAATGGACGGCTTCGAGGAGATGGGCAACGTGTTTGTCTTGGCGGCGACGAACAAACCAGACTCGCTTGACCCGGCTCTCATGCGACCGGGCCGTTTCGACGAGCTCATCTACGTACCGCTCCCCGACGAGCAGGCACGAGAAGCCATCATCTCAAGAAAGGCCCAGGAGCTGCGGTTCCCTCCCCTCGATATCCCCGAGCTGGCCAGGCGAACTCATGGCTATTCGGGAGCCGAGATCAGCCGCATCTGCGACAAGGCTTTTATGCCGGTGGACTCTAACGCTGACACGAATGGCGAGCCCGACGGCATGGCTGTGCTAGAGAGAGCCATTCGGAGGACGCCAAAGGGCGTGACCAGCGAGATCTTGGCGCATTTCACAGCGTGGCGATTGTCTAGGAATGAGTTTTAGCTGGAAGTGAATTAAGGCGAAAGACCTATAGAAATAGACATCCCATTACAAAGCTTCCGAGGTTCTACAATGTGATGCCTCTACAGATACAGGCATTCAATGGTAATCAACATTTGCATCATTGAGCTTCTACATTGAGCTGGTACGTGATTCATGATTTGCAAGAAACAAAAGTTTGTTTCGCTCAGACTTCGGACGACTCGGTTTTCCAGCCAGGGAGAACAAAGAACCTCTTGCCAGCACTTCACATCGGAGTATGGTCATCATGACAACTAGCAGTAAGCGAACGAACGTTGATGAACTGAGGACCTGATAGTAAGTCATAACTATTTAATAGTATTAGCTAATACGACTCCACATGCAACATGCAAAGATCGGATTTACGGGCATGGAACAAAACGGATACGGAAGTGCAAGGAACAACTGTTCTTGGTTTTAAGATTGATTATATGGGCGGCTCGGCGGCTTGGCAACAGAATTTTTACTTTTCTACTTTCTCGGGAGTTTTTT